CAGTATTGAAACTAAAATAATTTCGGACTTTCATTGTCTTTATTATTTAGTTAAAAAAAAGTGACAATCCATATGCACGTCACTGGCGAAAATGTCGACACTTTTTTAGCATTAAAATATGTCGTACTGATAGTAATATGTATATGGTAATATATTTGAAACTTACAAAATTTACCCTGAAAATTTCATTCGAATTTCTTCACACACGGGAGAAAATTATAATAAATCGAAAAATAGATGAATGCTTTAACCTCTTGTAGCTACGAAATTAAGCAGACTCGGACCTATGTTAATATGAAAAATAAATCTTATTTTTACGAGAGATGGCACATGTTTTTTGAAACACTCTGTATATTGGGGAGACAAAACGTCGTAAACGAACATAAAAACATACGCAAAGAGGTGAAAAAATGAAGTCGGGCATTGCAGAACATGTGTGGTCACCACAACATAAAATGGTTGGAAGCCCGGGTTGTCCACAAAAGGAACCTCATTGGAAAAAGCGCAAATTTAAAAAGAGGCCTTGTTCATATCTAGCAATAATCACATCTTTAGCAATCCATGTATGGAAATTTCAACAATATGGCAACCATTCATAAAACCTTCCACTCATAAATTCCCATTCCAGGTTACGGATGGAGTCTTCTAGGTTCTTCAGTTCCGCTTTAAGGTTGATTCTCACTATACCTTCCGTATCAGCTACCTTCCGTTTACAAAAAAATATTATATCATGTAATTGAATAGGACAATGCACACTATCCGTTCCGTTTCCCTTCCGCGTTCCATATTCTTTCCTTCCATACATTTTTTTGGTAGACGGACTGAAGCGTATCCGAAACAGTGTTGTCAAGTTCTTACATTTGTACCAGCTCTGTTAACATTTTGCTGATATTTATTTATTCTTTTACCTCTTAATTAAATCTATTACCTTTTTCAAAAGATATAAATTTTTAAAATAAAACTTTTGTAATGATATACATTGTACAATAAAAAGTATGGAACTGATACGGAATGGAAGCTTACGTATAGCGTCAATACAATAAAAAATACGGAACGGATATGGAATGGATCTGGAATGGAAACGGAAGGTATAGTGAGAATCAACCTTTAAGTTGATTTCCACTTGGGAAGCAGAACGGTTCTAGTCCAGTTAGTGGAATATGCGCTTCTTTTCTATTTAGATTGTTTGTTTTTTCATTGCCTTCTATTGCTTGGTGTGCTGGAACCCATTCAGAGTAAAAGGACTTTACTTTGTTTGCCTAAGTTGTCCTCTGTTGTCTGACAACCCTAGTAGAAACTCTGTCTGTTGAAAAAAAGCTCGAAAATCGCTTCTATAAAATGTCAATGGTCCAAAATCTGCTTTAAAAAATAAAATATTTATGTATTTTTCCAAAAATTTTGGTGACGCAAATGAAATCTTATGCCTATAATATTAATTAAAATATAGTCGCCTTCATCTGTTCATTGATCACTTTTATCCGTTTTAACATAAAAAACCTATTCTTGTTTTTTTTTTGGATAAACATAACGATGGAAAAAATACGTCAGTGGTTGAAATGAGTATAAAAATTAGCATATTAAAAATATACCTGTATGTAAATTATTTTTTTATAGTAATTTAATCATTTAATTTATTTTGTTCGCCTAAATACCTGCTTTTAAAGAAAAAGTTTTTTTTAGCTTTATACAGTGCGTTTCAAAAACATGTGCCATCTCTCGTCGGGAGATTCCTCACGTAAAAGATTTATTTTTAATATTAACATGGGTCCGATTCTGCTTTGTTTCGTAGATACAGGAGGTTAAAGTTCTATGGGTTAAAATCTTCATTTTTTTTTCATTTTATTATAATTTTCTTCCAAGTGCTTTTAACGATTCGAATGAAATTTGGAGGGTAAAAGCCAAGAGTTACTATGAGTCCTATATATTTTATTGCCAAAAAGTGTGGACAAATTCACCAGGGACGAGCATATGGGTTATCACTGGAATATTTTTCTAAAAAAATGTGTACGCGACTGACCTTTTTTCAGTTATTATTAAAAGGGTGTAGGCCATTTTTTGTGATGAAGATTAGAATCTTCTCACGACAGATGGCACATGTTTTTTGATACACCCTGTATATTTAGCAACAATCGCGTACTTGTAAAATTTACCTCGTTATTCAATATTAATAAATATTATGTAAAACTGTCTAATGGTGGTTTTTCTTTCTTTAATTGTCTATATTGCCGGCGGTAATTTAGCCATTTTGAAAATTAAAACCAGGAAAGTAAATAATGTTAATAATTTATATTTTTTTAACATGTCAGATAAAGTTTTCCAGCAATATATTTAAAAATATATACGGTTTCTTGGCCATTAAACATTATCGTAAAAATGTATTTACTTTTTAACAACCAGTTTTAAAAATAACGAGCAGTTAGTATTGCAGTGTTTTTATGTTAGGTGTCTTTTAATGGTTTAAAATTAAAATTTCGCCGGTATAACGGATTTACTTTTCAACTTTATTTGAGTTATTAATATACACATTTTTTATTACTGAGCTTAATAATAGTGGAAAATTTTAATTTCCGACACAAAAATAATAATCAAACGCTTCCTTAAAAGTGGCAGGCAATGTTTAATTTGACAAATCAGTTATACTGAACTTCCTTTATTTTTAAAAATTTCATTCGAATTTAAGGTTTCCATTTACATTCATCCAAAATCAAACGAAATTCTTGGTTAATTTTATGTAAAGACTGTTCAGCCATCGTTCACCGATACGTCATCACTATTTGTCAAATATGCGTTTTAGGATGTGTCTGAGATCAGTTCATATTGTTTAGCAAATTTTAAGTACGTTCCTATATTATTGATTGAGCGAGTTCCGTATTTTCGGCATTTATTCATTTTTTATTTAATTCTTCATCAGTTATGATCCTTTGAATTCCATTTCTTTGGACTGTTGAAATTTCTACTTCTAAAGCATCAGCAACTCGCTATATTATTTAAAAACGATATCGATTTGTATTGTTGTGGACCCGTACCGTGTGAACTCGGCCTTCGGCTTCAGGCGCCTGCTATGACTCATACGCCCACCGACGTTCGAAGAACGCCGCTAAGAATTTTCGAGATAAGTCTGGATTGTCTGTTTCTCTCATATATAAGCGATGCCCGAAACCTGAAGAAGATAGAGAGAAAATAACCGATCGACGCGTACAGTTACAATCGCCGCGCTAATTCAAAATAAATTGCTGCTGTAAATAATTAGATAAATTGTAAATAAGTTATAAATAGTTCTTTAAGTTTTCTTTTAATCGTTATTGTTTGTTAATTAGTGTTAAATAAATTGTGTTTAAATAAATTGTGACTTTCTATCCACACGGAACCGACGAAAAACGTAACAGTATTTTACATAGGAGAATTACACCTTTGCATTGTACTTACTTCATATACGGCGTCCAGGGTCAAGAGTGTTCTACCAGCGTCTCTTTCTCGAGAAAAATATTTTATAAGGTTAGCAATGAGCTCTTGTTCATTTTGGTTAAATCTTTGAGAATTTTTGCTATGAAAAAAAATCGAATTTTGTTCTGCAGCAACAATCAAATTTTAATTTTGACAATGATCGATGTCCGTTAATAAAATTGTAAGCTCAAATCAAATGATAATGACAACTACTAAAAAAAAAAATTTAACTTCATCGATGTTCGCCAATAAAATGATAAAAATGTCTATACCTATGTGGCGGATTCATCTCTCCAAAAAATCCTATATGGTTATTTCTCGCCACTGCACTGCAAGAAAATCTACAAAATAAAATAGTTATTTTTTGTAAACACTTATTCGAATGTTTCACAATTTGGAATTCCTAAAAAAAGGGTTCGTATGTTAAACATACGAACATCTTTTAAAACACAAAATACCAAAGTACACTTAGATCCATTTTATCGCATACTAAACCAATGAATACAGAACAACAAACAAAAAATGTGATATACCAAATACCATGTGAATGCGATAAATTTTACATTGGTGAAACATCTAGACCCTTAAATGTTAGAATTAAAGAACATAAAGATTATTTAAGAAAGGGAGATTTTCACAAATCTAAGATTTGTCAGAATTCATGAGACACAGGGCACAGAATAAATTTTAATAACGCCAGAATTATAATGAAAAAAGCGATATCCTCTAAAAGAAAAATAAAAGAGGCTTTTTTAATACAATCTAATAAAAATAAATGTATTGCTCATGCATCTGTAGATGTTAGTAATGTATGGCAATCGCTTCTTTGATTTTAGAACATAACATATATAAACATAACATACGTGAAATTTAAAAATAATCATACAGAAAGTTTGGGGCTTTTTTGTTTTTACCTTATTAAGTAATTGTTATCAGGTAGTTATTGTTAATTTTGAACTTAACTTGATATAATGTCATTTTAACAAAACGTCAACGGTTTCTTGTAGACGTATCTGTTTTAAAAAACTAAAGTGTTCTCGAATAGTTGAATTTAAATATTTTAAATAGTTTTTTTCTTTATTCATTGTATGTTTTTTGCTTCCGACGACGGAAAGAGATAAACTTTCGGAAACGTTAAGCAATTTTTTCTTTGTTAGGCAAATTTGTATAACTGTAAACATAACTTCTGACAAGTAGTTTCCGTTTGGGTTTAACGCAGAAGTGTTTACAAAAAATAACTATTTTATTTTGTAGATTTTCTTGCAGTGCATGGCGAAATATCCATATAGGATTTTTTTGGAGAAATAAAATTATAACCCCAAATCAAATGACAATGACAATTACTAAAAAAGAATATTATGCATTAATTTAGTAAATGCCGCAATGACGCCTAACCTATCTCTTTTATCTGGTTGGCATGTGATTGAGACTTGATTGAGAGAGTTCGACAATATGACGTGACGTTGAACGATGGCTGAACATTCTATATTTGTAACACTGTATATTTTCTGTATGTTTTGTAACTCTGTATATAACACTCTATGTTTTGTTTTCAGATGATTGCTGAAGAAAATGGATTCAGAAATACAAGCATTGATTCCTCAAATTCCAGTAAAAATGAATCAAAATTACAGGACGCCATCCATCGCACTTTAGGAATAAGTGTTTTTGGATTAATGCGAGCTTTAAATATAGCCTACGTACCGTTGTTTATATACCGATTGTTTGAGAAACGAGAAAAGTATATACCCATTTCTGATCCGATACTGAAGATACCAGCGTCCGAATTAACACAGAAAATAAGGAAAAAAGAGGTATAGATTGGAGATTAGGGTGAGCCAAAAAAACTAACCTATGGAATTTAAGGGTTAAAATGAACCTAATGAACCTAAAAATTTTAAAAGGTGTTGGTGCACATTCAAAGTTTTCTATTTAAATAACACATAAAAAATCTTTTTCCATTTAAAGTACCATAACTTTGAAACGGTTTACGATAAAAAATTTCCATCGCGGATTCTTGTATAGCATAAAATTTCCTAAAAAATCTTTCCGAGAGTATTTTTTTTCAATTCAATAATTATATATTTGAAAGCTTTGAAAAGTGAAAAAAAATCAAAATATGTAGTTTTAGTGTTTATTGATTAAACATTTTCATATTTAGCAAAAAAAAACTAAAATAAATTTTATGCTCTACAAGAATCCGCGATGTAAAAAAAATTATCGTAAACCATTTCAAAGTTATGGCACTTTTAATGGAAAAAGATTTTTTACGTGTTATTTAAATGAAAAACTTTGAATGTTCACCGACAACTTTTAAATTTGAGCTAAAAATCCTACCTTCCGGAGATATTTTTTTCTCGGTTATTAGGTTCATTTTAATCCATAAATTCCATAGGTTACTTTTTTTTTTGGCTCACCCTACTATAAACTATCAAATGAATCTAGATCATATTAATTACTGTAGTCAATCTAATTAAAGAAGACTTTTGCAGAAGGAAAATTTCTCGAGCTCGAGATATTATGCTAGTTATAGAGTTTTAATTATCTGCCTTAGACCGTAAATTATCTTTTACTTTGCGGAATCAGTTTTATAACTCCATTTCTTCTATGAAAGCTTTAGTTAAAAATATTTTCGCACTGAAGTAAAACTATAGTGTGAAATATTTTTTTTAAAAAGAATTTTATTTAACGAAGCTAGAAAATCAAGAAGCATTTATTAATAATGAAGACGATATGCAGGGTATCCTAATATTCTGTAGAACTACGTATTGCGTATAATCTTACAACAGTTTGGGGAAACCCCGTTTTTTAGGCTTAAGTTTTTTTTCAGAACGTGCGCTTATTAATAAGGTCGTGTCTCTAAAATGTGCTATAAGTATAAACAAGTTCAAGTAGCGGTTTGGTGCGTCCTTCCGGCAGTGAGAGGCAACATGCGGCACAATCACCATACACCTTGTTACTCTTAACAAAAACAGAATCATTATTTTATAAATTGGCGGGGTATTAATGATATAATCTTATGTCTAACATTAGAAGTGGGATGTTATTCCCATAATAACAACTTTTTGGCAGATTGTTTCCATGAATTACTCACCGTTCTTTTTTTACAAATATAACCTTACATACGACGGACCTCTAGACAAAAGTGCTTGGTTTGTCTGTTAGAGGATATCAATGAAAAATAAATCTGAACGTTAATTAATTTAAAATTTACGAAGTTTATTGTTAAAAATCATTTGTGATACTACATAACAGTCCACATTTTTTACAGCTAAATAATAGCACAAATGTTTTAGATTTAATGCACCTGCATATAGCTTGAAGGGATAAGAAATATTTTTTGTAGGTTAGGTTCGGAAATACGTACAATTTTTTTCTCAACAGCTAAGCGAGCTGGCGTTTTTTTTTACAAGAGACTAAAAATGTGGTAAATACTACAAGGGACTTTTTTACGAAAAAAAATTAGACGTCATTCTATATCCACTGAATATTGGGACATCTTATATAGTTTTCGTATTTTTCAATAATACAGATGGGTATTTTGCCACTAAACAGAGAAATAAAAAGTAAAAAATAGTTTTTTTTTGTAAAATGTCAATGAATCATTATGTGTTTTTTGCTGGTTAGGCAAACTTATTTATAAAACTCATTGAGAAACTGGTTTTCATCTGGATTCTAAAACACTGGCATTTTATACAAATAAATATTATTAGTTTTAGGTAATACTTATTAGTTTGTGGTAACACATTTCGGAAAAAATATGGCGTTCAAAAATAAATTATTCTCAGAAATAAGAGTGCAATTTTAGTTATAATTAAATAGGTTCATCTATTATTTTCACAATTTGCAGAAAGTTTGTACACAAATCATTTGATTACTGCCATTGCCATCAACATCCAATGACAACAAACTTATATTTTGTTCCATTTTCATTGTTTTTATTTCTAATAGCGTTCAAAAAAAACGGCGTGTAATTCATGGAAAGAATCTGCCAAAAAGTTGTTATTATGGGGATAACATCCCACTTCTGATGTTAGACATTAGATTATATCATTAACAAACCCGCCAATTTATCAAATAATGATTCTGTTTTTGTTAAGAGTGACAAGGTACGTGATTATTGTGCCACAGGTTCCCTCTCACTGTATACGTACACTATTCTGTACTACACTGTACGTACCTTATAACTTATACTACTTCATTTATAAAAAAAGAACGGTGTGTAATTCACGGAAACAATCTGCCAAAAAGTTGTTATTATGGGAATAACATCCCACTTCTGATGTTAGACATAAGATTATATCATTAATAACCCGTCAATTTACGAAATAATGATTTTATTTATGTTAAGAGTGACAAGGTGCGTGATGATTGTGCCGCAAGTTGCCTCTCTAGTGCTGTACTTATGATAAACATTAGACATTTTACTATCTTCTCAACTTACTCAAAATATAGAAATAGTAAATTTTTTATTGTAATTTTGATTGTATTTCTGTAATTAAATTTTTAGATATCTTGCGTGGAAGTTATAGAAAAATATATTGCAAGAATCAAAGAAGTTAATCCAATTATAAATGCAGTCATTGAAGATAGATTCGTTCAAGCACTAGAAGAAGCAAAAAAACTGGACCAATGGATTAATTCCGATGACTTTGTAAAAAATCAAGATAAGATTGCGAATGAGTACCCCCTTTTAGGTAAATTAAATTAAAACTAAATAAGACAATATCTGTCAATATTTCCTTATTGAAACATGATTGAATACAATAATTTTGGATGTTTCGATTTTAAAAGATATTCTTTTTTTACCTAGGTGTACCAATTTCAGTGAAAGGCAGTATTGGCGTAAAAGGGCTTAAACATACCAGTGGTATGGTTACTAGAAATAAAATCACAGCTGAGGATGATGCTGTTTCGGTCAAACAAGCAAAAAAAGCAGGTACAATTAAATATATATTTTTTTCAAGTTGGGGTCCGGCAATAGTCAGGCTTTTTTGTGCTTCGGAATTTTGTTCAAGTGCAAATATAAAGTATGTACTAGGATGTATTGAAAAAAAAATATTTTAACTTCTACAGGGTGGCTCAAAAAAGTGTGGATGGATCGGGATTATTTTTTTAAATGGACACCCTGTATATTATTGCATTTTCAACTTGACATGCAAGCCATTCATCTTATTTACTATTTTTTCTTTTAAGAAATGAGAATCCTTTTATTACACCTTGTCAAGTACCTATACCATAACTTCCAAAAATAACACAAATTAGAACTTTAGTGTATAACAATAAACCTAAAATACAAAAAAAACTTGTTATTTTTAGGAGCTATTCCTCTGTTAGTGTCTAATGTCCCTGAGCTTTGCATGAACTGGGAGACATCTAATAAACTAGTTGGAACAACGAAAAATCCTTACGACACAACAAGGACCTGCGGTGGATCTTCAGGAGGCGAGGTACTAATATAAGACGAACACCATAATGATTACATTTTTAGTTAATTTTATTTAAATTTATTAGAATTTATAAAGATAAACCGATCGACAACCTGATTTACTTAGTCAGATTGTACATACTGTTACGTTTTTTGTCGGTTCCGTGTGGATAGAAAGTCACAATTTATTTAAACACAATTTATTTAACACTAATTAACTAAAACAATAACGATAAAAGACTTAAAGAACTATTTACAAACGATTTACAACTATTTATCTAGAAAGAATTTATTTTAAATTTAGCGCGTCAACTGTACTCGTCTTATTTATATCTGTCCTCTTTAGGCCCCAGCCGCCGGCTTTTATACCCACAGCTAAAGATTTCTCGAATAGTCCATAGATCGTTAGGTGCATAGAGAAGTTTTCGATTGTTCTCGTATTACTCCATTCCAGTGGAACTCGATTCTTCTCGAAACTTCGAATGAATAATTACGGTGTTTATTCTTTAATGCGATGTTAAGGTCATCTGAGGGCGGGACATATAGTTAGGTTAGGTCGAGTCCACACGGGTCCGCAACAATACAATACTTTCTAGATCCAAAACAGGAGACATTAATATTTGACTGTGAACATATTTGATCTTCCCTATCTAATCGTGAACTCTATCTTCACACTTGATAATGATAAGTTATACATCATGTCCCGTTACGTCTCTTTTTCGCTATAATCGAACATTATTTTCGCTATAATTGAAGGCAATATCCATGCAGCTCCATTTAAAAAAATTGTTCGCTAAACGAGACAGCTCTAAGGCGCATTCTCACGACTCGTGTACTTGATAAAAATTTGCAATTGGTATACAGGGTATACACGGTGCAGCGGGCATCTATACAGAATTTCTAAGTTATTTAATATAGGAGTTACGCAGCACTCCCCCAGACCCTGTATGCCAATAAAAAATACTTGCCAAGTACACCAGTCGTGAGAACGCGCCATAATAACTCTGTGGCACTTGCTGCCAACCTAAAACAAGGTTGCCATAATGTACTGTTATATGGAGACGCCTGATTACTGCGAGGTACGATCGGCCTATTTTTAAAAGGGCAACTAACTATAAATCTCATTTTCGTAAAAATGTGAAGCTGCCTGGTTATTGCAGCCATCCCTTTAATTATATTATTGAAACAAATATGTCTCATATTGATACTATAAATTCTGATGTAATTGATAACAGTTATAACTGACTTGGTTTTATATGAGATCTTATATAGTCTATAAAATGAATAACTTTGAATTTTGACCGTTATTTTTTACCAATATGGCAAATATAAAATCCCTCTGTCAAAAAAGTTACTGATATTCTTTAAAATGAGTGCCTGAACGAATCAGATAGGTAACTCTTTTTACTTTCGTGAAATAGACAAGGAAAATAATAAAACAAGTTACAGTCTTCTTGCAAAAATTACCACAAAATGTCATAATTGTCAAAAGTACAATGTCATCAGCTTTTGGCATTTCTAAATATCAGACCAATGCAGTCTCTAATAGACCAGCCTCGGTCAAACGAGATTTATGACGTCACGCTAGTTAGATACTACGGATCAATAAATATGTTGTAGAATACATGGAAAACATAATTATTCCTCGTATTTTGGGTTTGTATTTTAAAAATGATACAGTTTACATGAAATATACATAATATACAGTTAATAAATACAATATATATACCTATTTATAGTAATAAATACTTTGGCAAATAAAACTATGAACCATAAAAATGCAGCATATGTTTTACAATATACAAATAATGAATAGGTACATAAGTTAATGGGGAAAATGTAAAATATATTTTAAATTTTAGGGTTTGAAAATCGATCTAATTTAACAAAAAACATTCAATATCTACTAATAGTGATGTATTATTATTTGCATTCACAAAACTTATATGTATATTTCATGTAAACTATATCATTTTTAAAATACAAATCAAAAATACGAGGAATAATTATGTTTTCCATGTATTCTACAACATATTTATTGATCCGTAGTATCTAACTAGCGTAACATCATAAATCTCGCTCCGGGGCTGTTCTATTAGAGACGGCATTGCGTCAGCATGGCCGCAAGTTGCTAACCTAATAAAATTAACACTAGAAAAGCCCGCGGGAACTGTCAAATTCAAAGTAATTCGCTTCGCAGACTATAACTATTTATAGTGAAAAAAACTGTCTTGCGACACTTTTTTACAATTTATGTTTTTGATGGGATCGTGTTTTTTTTTCAAAAAATATTTGCCTTCTCTCGTGGGGAGAATCTTCACGTAATAATAAGTTTTATTTTTCATATAAACATATAGGTCCGATTCTGCTTTTTTCATAACTACATGCGTTAAAATCTTCATTTTTTTATAATTTTCTTCCAAGAAAAGTATAAAAGTTACTAAAAATGTTAAACATTTTAATGCTAAAAAAGTTAATCGCCATTAAAAGGCTAACAAAAGAAAAAGTGTCTTTTAGACTTAATCTGTTTGTTGTTTAAAAGAAAATGAATTTTCTAAGTGTTTTGAAAGAAGAAGATTTAAATAATTTTGCAGAATTGTCAAATTCCGAAGATTCGGCAATTGAGGAAGATGGCCAAGAAGATCACCTCACCTCACTCAACGTACGAACACATTATTTGAACATTCGTGAGTATAGACGTTCTATGGCATCCGGAGTATTCTGCATATATAAACATTTTATAACAGTGCTTCGGATTACAGATAGTGATGAAAGACCTTTTTTACAAAATAATGTATTTACTGAATGTTTTGATTTATACCAAGAACACATAGACAACGACAGTGCTAGACATCGGCATTTCACATCACACTTCACATCAGGACTTAATAGTGAAAATTATAAGTGTGATGTATGTGGCGTAAAGCTATACAGGGTCCGGCAATAGTGCGTCAGGCATCTGTAGCTCCTAGAATAAAAAACTTGAGAATTTTGTTTAAGTTCGAACCTAAAGTTTGTACCAGGATGTATTTCAGGAAAATATTTTAACTTCTATAGGGTGGCTCAAGAAAGTGTGAGTGGACCTGGATGATTTTTTTTAAATGGAACACCCTGTATATAATTGCATTTTTGGCTTCCTTTCAGATCACTTTACATAATCCTAAGATATGAATAAATATATTTCGATAGTTTCAGAGATATTAAAAAATAAATAAAAAATATGTATTTTTTAGCCCTTCTTAAAAAAATTATTAAAAATACAAGAACCTGTTCTGAAATCAAAACTATATTAGGTATTTACTTTAGATAGTCTGTTCTTACTTTGTTATAAATATGGTAATTGTATATCATACAGGATGTTCAATATTCTACGCCAAACTTTCTAAAATATAAAATAATTTTTCTTTATTATTTTAAATGGAACACCCTGTATATTATTTTTTTATTAGATGGAGAGTTAAAAAACGAGCATTTTTTTTATTTAGAGTATTTCAAAATTTTGAACGGTTTCGCAGATACGCGCAGTATTATTTCATATGGCGCTTTCAATGGTAAAATACGAGAGAAAAATCATTGGGTGGCTTTGATAAAAATTTACTGTGGAAAATGCCATATGAAATATAAAACCGCAAATATCTGCGAAACCCCAAAATGTTCATTTTTTAATTCTCCGTCTACTGAAAAAATAATATACAGGGTGTCCCATTTAAAAATAACGAGGAAAAATTATTTTATATTTTAGAAAGTTTGGCGCAGAATTTTGAACATTCTGTATAATTTACGATTTTCATATTTATAGCAAAGTAAGTACAGACCATCTAAAGCCTAATCTAAATACCTAATATAGTTTTTATTTCAGGACAGTTCTTGTATTTTTAATAATTTTTTTAAGAAGGGCTGAAAAATACATATTTTTTATTTATTTTTTAATATCTCTGAAGCTATCAAAATATATTTATTCATATCTTAGGGTTATGTAAAGTGATCTGAAAGGAAGCCAAAAATGCAATAATATACAGGGTATTCTATTTAAAAAAAATCATCAAGGTCCACTTACACTTTTTTGAGCCACCCTATAGAAGTTAAAATATTTTCTTGAAATACATCCTGGCACATACTTTAGGTTCGCACTTACACAAAATTCTCAAGTTTTTTATTCTAGGAGCTACAGATGCCCGACGCACTATTGCCGGACCCTGTATATAGTAACACAACCTACATGTTGTTTTGTGTGTAATGGTAAAAATGAAATATGGTAATATTTCATTTTTACATTTAGTATATGTTATCACAATATAATTTTACATACCTAGTTTTATATATTATATGTATATTTGTTAAAATTAGTTTTAATTAGTTTTGCATTGCTTAAGATTTTGTTTAGAGTTATATATGTATTATTTGAATATACACTTTACTTAAATGAACACTTGTTAAAACAATGTATACAATTTTAATGTTAATATTTCAGTTTTCTTAACATTTTTTTTCGGTTTATTCTGTGTTAAATATTACTATTTATATTTTCATCATGGAAATTTATATTATAAATATTATTAAAAGTATTTTTGTTTTTAGTACTATGAAAATCATATTATCTAAGACATACATTTTGTCTAAAATATGTTCTTTTGATTGGAAATGATTGGTGTAGTATGGTGTAGTAATGGTGTATGTAATGTAACTATGGTGTAGTAAAATAAAACTAAAAATATCTCTTCTTAAAATTTTATTATTTTACAGATTAGGTCCTCTTTTTATTGTGATGGTAAAATGATATCTAATAACATCTTCTCGAATCTGTACTAAATATGTGTAAGGTGAACAGCACATTGGACATTTATTTATAGCTCTTAAACCACAATTTACATCATTCCACCTAAGTATACAATGTAAACAAAAGAAATGACAACACTTATTTGATACATATGTTTCATCATGAAATCAATTAATTCGTAACATATAGCACAGATCACTTTTTTATTCTTCTCATCATCTCCATTTTCAGTCTTATTTTTTAAAACAGTCAGAGTTTCTTCCTCTTCTCTATGTGGAGATTCTAACACACTAAATAAAGAGTTATGTTCTTGAGATGTTGATTGAATACTATTTCTAATTGATTCACTCATTTTGGAGAGACTACTAGTATGATCGAACAACTCTAACGATTTAATAAGAAATGGTAAAGATGTGGTGGAGATATAAGCGAAAAGATGAGTATTGGAAGTGGGAGGAGTGAACGGCCCCTTATGCGATCTGAGGTATATGCATGTGGGGATCTCGTATGTGAAAAGATATGTATTGGGAGTGGGAGGAGTGAATGGCCCCTTATGCGATCTGAGGTATATATACATGTATGTATGTGGGGATATATACAAGGTGGCCCATCGAAAACGTTCCGCAAGGCATAACGGCCAGGGTAATTTTTTTTTCAGAAAGTTCAAAAACACGTCAATTTTATTTGTGAGGGGGACGACTTTTACCCCAAAAATGATTGCAAAATCTTCAACCCTCTAAGCGGGAGTGTAATCCCCCAACTTTTTCAAATGGGAAGGGGGGTCAAGTGGTAAGTAAGTTTATTTAAACATTTATCAGAGAAAATGATAAGGATAAATTCCTTCGACCAATTTGCTGTTTTTTCTTATTATTTCTAGATGTTTACGCATTTTTCCACTTGCCACAAGGTTGAACGATCAGGTGCGGCAGTTGCTAGATAGCTGTTCTGTGACTTGTGCGTTGAAGTTCTTCTCAATATCGTTAAACTTTTTAACAATTATGGTGTACTCACTTGCAGAAAAAGTAGAAATAATCGAACTTTATTTTAAAAATAATGAATTTAGCAATCGGGTTCCGCAGATATTCAATGAATGCCATCCTGAAAAACACCTTTATGGCAAAATTGTTCGCGAGTTAGTAGCAAAATTTCGCGAAACTGGTTCCGTTATGAATAAAAAGAGGCAGAGGGAAAACCCTGTAGTAAATGAAGCTATGGAGGTATTCGTATTGGGCCAAGTTGCCATGGATAGTACGCTGAGTACAAGAAAATTAGCCAATGCAAAATTAGCCGGCGTGAATCGTACCAGTGTCCAAAGGATATTAAAAAACACAAGTTCCACCCGTACAAAATTCAGTTGGTACAAGAACTCAACGAAGACGATTTTGATCGTCGCTTGCAATTTTGTGAAACTGTGAGTGAACGAGTGGCGAATGATAATAATTTCCTATTTAATGTGTGTTTTCGGATGAGTGTACTTTCTTTTGAACGGTGTAGTTAATCGGCATAACTGTCGGTACTGGGCTGAGGGGTTTTTCACGAGGTGCACATACAAAACCCTCAGAAATTGAACGTGTGGGCTGGTATTTTTGGAAATTCTATTTTGGGTCAGTTTAACGATATTGAGAAGAACTTCAACGCACAAGTCACAGAACAGCTATCTAGCAACTGCCGCACCTGATCGTTCAACCTTGTGGCAAGTGAAAAAATGCGTAAACATCTAGAAATAATAAGAAAAAACAGCAAATTGGTCGAAGGAATTTATCCTTATCATTTACTCTGATAAATGTTTAAATAAACTTTTCAAATTTCAATCCGTCATATTTTCTCAATGACTCGACCGATTTTCAAAAACGAAGCAGGAAAGTATAGAGAATAAAAAGCCCTTTTCATTGCGATACCACTTGACCCCCCTTCCCATTTGAAAAAAGTTGGGGGATGACACCCCCGCTTAGAGGGTTGAGGATTTTGCAATCATTTTTGGGGCAAAAGTTGTCCCCCTCACAAACAAAATTGACGTGCTTTTGGATTTTTTGGAAAAAAAAATATCCTGGCCGTTATGCCTTGCGGAACGTTTTCGATGGGCCACGCTGTATGTGCAAAATGTGTATTGGGAGTGGGAGGAGTGAATGGCCCCTTATGCGAATTGTGAAAGACGAGGAGGAAGATGAGGAGGAGGATACCCCTTATACTAACTACTAGTGGCGTACATGTTTTTTTTTAGAAAAATATTCCAATAATAACCAGTAATATGCACGTCCCTGGTTAATATGTCTACTATATGTCGTATTAAAAAAATATTGAAACTTTAACTCCCTGTAGCTACGAAACAAAGCAGAATCGGACATCGGACCTATGTCGACATGAAAAATAAATCTTATTTTTACGTGAGGAATTTCTCCACGAGAGAAGGCACATGTTTTAAAACACCCTGTATAATTTAGCAATTGGTAAAGAAATCGAGAGAACAACATTTTTAATTTTAACTTCGTTTTAACTGATCTCGTTACAATTGAACCAATCAGTCGTAACAATCGATAGTCATTAAATTTGTTGAAATAAAACTGAATTGTTCGGCATCGCTTGGAAAAAATTAATTAATAATACTTTTTACAGAGAGTTATTCGTTCGACGAACGTAAAAGTTGAAACAAAATATAATATAAATGCGTCATAAAGATTTGCTTCTACATTTATTTTGTTAGCTAACACGTTAAGCTAATGTATAGTACATATCAAATAAGAAACAAAAATATATAATTATAAATATATAAAGAGTTATTATTTACATCAACAAAACTCACCTTCTCAAGAGCACTTAAGGAACATAAATGGCCATTACTACCGCTTTCCCGTTCAAAATATTAAATAATAAAATTGCGATGAGTTTGTTTACGGCTATCAAGCTATCTTGTACACTTCGCACTAAATGAGGTTCTAAAAAGAACAATGTTCGACTGCAAGGTCTGCTAGTAAACATTTTCAAGCTTAAAGTATCAGAACACTATTTATTTTAACCAAAAACTCGTAATATACAAAACTAAAGTGTCAAAACGAATGACAATGTCAGGAAATAAATAAATAAATGCGGCAACTTGATATTTTTTACAGCAGAGCTACCACCTGAATCCCCATCGCGAAATTTAAATTCCAGTTAGTCAGCACGGCGCGGAATATGTCCGTGGTTGGCAACAATGAATTTAAAAATCGCGCCCTCGATTACGTATCTAAAAGTTTAATTGGTATCAAATATAGATATCACTAATGTAGATATAAATTCCATATCATGAATAGATGGCCCGAGTTACGACGCTCTAAAGACCCATTTCAACTTTCTAATTGCTTACCACTTTTTTTTCGCTAGCTCGTGTGTCAAGGCTTTGAATTTTTACTCCCAGCGTGCGTAAAGGCACTTCAAAAAGTATATAATTAATGACCATAAAATTTTGCATGATTGTTTGAGTGATATTATAAAAGTTATAAAAACTTTTATAATTGACTTCTTGGTCAAAAGCAAGTGGCAATGAGTTAAAAGTTATTATGAGGAATAATGCATATACATTTTCTTTTTTTAGGGTAGTCTTCTTGGTTCAGGAGCCTCACTTATCGGTATTGGATCAGACATTGCCGGATCCTTACGTTTGCCAGCCCATTTTTGCGGAGTGTATGGACATAAACCTACGCCCTCCACTGTTTCCGATAGTGGGCATTTTCCCAACAGTACCGACCGGGAGCAGTGGGAAGGAGCGTTTACTATAGGACCAATGAGCAGATACGCTAAGGATTTAAGGACTCTGTTGAAAGTGATAGTCAAACCCGAAAAACAAGAACAGTTAAACTTAGACGAAAAGGTAATTACCCTTCCGTTACGCGTGTCTCGTTTTTCTACGTAAGAACTCGCGTGGGGTATTTTAATTCCCTAATTCATTTTTAATCAGAAAAATAAAAAAAATTGGATGTCATATTACTAATAAAGAGTACTGAGTCTGTGGTTGGTTCCTTGTAAAACACCGTTGAAATATTAGTATTTTAATGAAACACGCTTTTAGATGTATCAAAAAATGTATCTTTTTTATATTAAGACTTACTTTTTATTACTTTAATTAGCAATACTAATAATTTTACTGACTACAAATTTATCTTTAAAAAAATATATTTTTTAGGTCGACATAAAGAATGTAAAAGTACATTACATCAACGATTATCCGGACAATTCCTGCGACAAGACTAGTCAAGAATGTTCAAACGCAGTTCTTAAAGTAGTTGATTACTTTAGCAAAACTTCAAACGCAGAACCTGAGAAAGTAAGTTTTGTGGATGCCGAAATAAATAAAATAACTGTAAATTTCTTTCATTTTAGGTTGATTTTCATCAGCTTCAATTTGCTGGAGAATTGGCTGCAATACACTTGCTTCAAATAGACGACATTAATGATATTTTTGACAATAATGACAGCTGTACTACAACTGAATATCTTAGGTATGATATCTTTTGAATAATAATACTGGAAATCTCAATTATGCAAAAAAATTTAGATAAATTTAAGTTTAGATAAATTTAAATTTGTACAAAAATGTGTGTATTTATTATACAGCATGAGTCTTAAATAAGTGCAAATATTTTCAGGACTGGTAGATTTCGATAAAAGAAACATATTTTCTCTTTACTGTTTTTCAAATGAGTCCAAAATAACTGAGTTATTGTACTTTGAAAATTTCCAAAAAAAATTGTTTCTTAAGTTTTGAGTTTTCTTTCTTGTAAATTTAATCTATTACCTATGTTGTCATATTATTAAGAAATTATGTTTATTATGTAAAAAAAAATCAAAACATTTTTCGAGAAATTTCAAATTTTCAAAATTATTTTGTCACGAAAAAAACTTGTATCGTATTTCTGGGGTTGTGCACTAAATACACTACCTCTAAAATATTTACAATTATTTTTTTTTCCACAATAAGGGGCCGTCCTCTGCCGGAAACACTGCGACCTGTGAGGCCTATTGTGTTTGTCCCCTTTCTATATCTGCACCCATTCTCCTATCTCTGTGCCCTGCACTAACTTATGCAGGTCCTTGATAGGATGGGAGCATAGTTCCTCCGGTTCTAGCCTAGCTTTCCCAAATAAAAGTGTCGCTTGCGATCCAGAGCTCGCAGTGACATATTATGTGCTCCGCTGTTTCAGGATCTTTAGCGCAAAGTCTGCAGCAAAGACTTCCTTGATACAGATTGAGCTTGTTCAGGTAACACTTGACAGCCATATGTCCTGTCAAGAGGACTGTTGTAATCCGCAATTTATTCCTGCTAAGCATTAGCAGTTCTTTTGCGGTTTTGGAGCTAGGTCCTTGGATAAAAGCCTTGCTGTGCCTGTGCCCGTGTCGGTTTCTCCAGTGGACATTCTGCTTTTTCCTGATCCAGAGTTTTAGTGCACTACGGGCCATACATTTGGGTATTCCCAGTACTGGCTCTGGACCAAGATAAGATGCCGATGATCCTTGCCTAGCTAGCTCATCGGCTTTTTCGTTGCCTTGGATGCCGCTGTGGCCCGGCACCTAGAATAATTTAATTCTGTTCCGTCGAGCCATAGCTTCCAGTTCACCTAGGCATTCCCAGACGAGTCTCGACGATACCTTTGGGCTCATAAGCGCCCCAAGTGCCGCCTGTCTGTTTGAGCATATATTGATGAGCTTATCTGAATAAGCTCTTCTATTGTTTTCTTTCGCACATCGTAGAATGGCGAAGATTTCTGTCTGGAATACGGTTGAGTCTTTACCCAAGGAAAACGATAAACTTACCCTTGGTCTTTCCCGAAATACTCCAGCTCCTGTTCCTTCAGCGGTCTTTGACCCGTCTGTATACCAGGTTAGTCCATCCTGAAGGAATGTTATATCTGTCCACATTCCTCGATCCATTTTGTTCACCTCGAATGGTTTGTGATAGTGATAAAGAGGGGTCATTTGGTCCGATCTTATTTGGAGTAGAGGTCCTCCGATAGGATTTCCCATCTTTGAGTGTCCTGTTTCTGTCCTATTTCCCAGAGACAAGACACTTTGTTGTCGATAGAGTCCCATTCTTGCCTCCGCCTGGATCACTATGTGAAGAGGCGGAAGGTCCAGAAGCGCCTCCATTGATGCAGTGGGCGTTGATTTCATCGCCCTGTTATGCTCAGACAAGCAAGTCTTTGCACCTTGCTGAGGCTGAGCATTGTTGTTTGTTGCATTACCTTAGGCCACCATACCAAGGATGCATATGTTACTGAAGGCCTCACCACTCCAGTGTACAGCCAGTGCACCATCTGTGGTCTAAGGCCCCAGATTTTTCCATGAAGGCGTCTGACTACCGCTAGTGTAGTCACCGCGCTCCTTGTGACATTTTCCAAATGTCGGTTCCAGGTCAGTTTGGTATCAAGCGTGATTCCTAGATACTTGACCTCCCCCGAGAGAGGAATCTCATCACCGCAGAGTCTTAGATGGCCTAGTCCCTCAAGTATTCTGCGCTTGCTGAAGGGGATTATTACGGTCTTTGTAGGACTAATATTTAGTCCCTCCCGTGTCACCCATAATTCCACAATCTTTAAGGCCCTTTGCATTCGCTCCCTTACTGTTGTGTTAAACTTACCTCTGACTGACACGACCAAATCGTCTGCATATCCCAGAGTGTTGAAACCAGCCCTGTTGAGACTATTAAGCAGTCCGTCCATAACGAGATTCCACAGCAGAGGGGAGAGAACTCCCCCCTGCGGCCATCCTCCCGCCACCCGGACTGCAACAGTCTCATTTAGGAGGGTGGTATATGCCACTCGACTTTTGAGCATGCAGTCTATCCACCTGCAGCAGGTCTCCTCTAATCCGAGGTTCCTTTGTAGCTCTCGTCAGTGACTGAAATGAGGTGTTATCAAACGCCCCTTCTATGTCGAGGAATGCCCCTAAAAGCACTTCTCTTGTTTAGAACGTCGACTCCACTTTGCTTACTAGCTGATAGAGTGCCGATTCGGTTGATCGTCCTGCTGTATAGGCATGCTGGTCTTGGTGAAATGGTCTTTTTCCCATTATTTCATCCCTAACATACCTGTCCATTAGTTTCCCAAGAGCCTTTAGTACGAACGACATAAGACTGATGGGCCTAAAAGCCTTTGCCGTAGAATAGTCCAGACGCCCATTCTTGGGTATAAAAGCTACCCTGGTCAGCCTCCAAATTCTCGGTATCTATCCTAAGGCCAGACTAGCTCTTAGTAGTGTACAATTATTTAAGACTCACCCTGTATAAATACAGTAAATAAAAAGAAAATAATGAATAAAAATATGATACCTTCCAATATGAAATTTGAGCTAGGTTGGTAAATTATTGAAGGACTTTGACGACCTTTTTGATAATGAATGAATTTTTGATAATATTTGGACATCATTCTGTCTAAGATAAATCTCCATTATCAATGACAGAAACGTCGCGCTACTGGGATGAAATTTGGTATGGCGATTAATTGGACCATAACCAACTAGACCATACATAACTTGTCAGAGTATGATAATCAATTTGTATATAACAGACGTGGAAAACTTATGTCGTCTGATCGCGATTGGTTTGGTGTTGAGATTATATTGGCGGTAAAACAATTATTTTGTCCCATATTAAGTTTGATCCGACGTTTCGTGTAAATAAGTTTATCATTGCGATGTGGAAAATTTGCTATTGAAGGAAAAAAGTATACTTTCTGACATAAATAGTGGCGACCGACATGATGACATAAATTACAATGATTGATATTCATAAGCTGATTTTACATTTAGATGTACAATCAGCTTATGAATATCAATCATTGTAATTTATGAATATATTGTAATTTATGAATTGCATTTAGATGCAATTAAAATAAATGCATAACTTAATATACAGATGACATAATAGTCTAAGAGCTAGCAACGTTTTCGAGAAAGTATTTTAAGACGTCTGGCTCTTTGATATATCTTTTATTATGCTCTCTGGAACAGCGTGCAGGCCGTCTGGCTGCCGATACACGTTGCGTTCACTACTGCGCATCCAAAGAAGATTCTCTATTTTTTACTTAGCGCTTTAAATTCTAGTATTGAATAAAAGTCGAGTAAGTCTCCATTAGCTCAGCACGTAGAGCTTTCGCCTATGAAGCGAAGGTCATTGGTTCGATACCGGCTGGGGTGCAACTTTTTTATTTTTTTTTTCGTTTATATTCTGATAGTAAAGTATTAAATATTTGCTTTTTTATCACAAGAACGGATAGCGTTTATGGGTTTATGATCTCTAGTGTACATAAGTAGAATTTGTTACTTTCATTAGTTTTGAAGGATTATTATAGTAATTAATTATTAGATAGGTTTAGGATGGTCTGGCTGCCGCGCCGGTAGGTTGCGTTCACAACTGCGCATCACATGGGTACAGGGTGTCTCATTTTTGTGCGTTTTTTGGGATTTGGGATATCTGGGATTTCTCGTTTATGAGTGGAGATACAATTATGCGTTTTTCTTCACATTGCTTTGCTAGTTTTTTATGTAACTAAATATTCTACCCCTAGATTTGCTAGATTTTCTACACATTAACATTAATCAATCTTGTTTAAAAAGTATTATTTTATTTAATTTAATTTAAGCAGATAATTTTGTTTTCCATCGTTATCTTAACAAACTGAACTGAAAATAAACTTGTGTAGCTTTTAAATAACAATCTGTTAAAAAAAGTATTATTAAAATGATTATTAAAATAATAAACAACAGCTGAAAAAAATATTTTGAAGAAAGACAGGCAGAAATTACCTTCATAAAGCATTAAAATGTTAATTTTTATATATTATGTTTAAATCTTTAAAATGAAATTATAAACGAGAAATCCCAAAAAACGCACAAAAATGGGACACCCTGTACACATGTGATGCGCAGTAGTGAACGCAACCTATCGACGCGGCAGCCGAAGCATCCTAAACCTGTCTAATAATTAATTACCACAATAATCCTTCAAAACAAATGAAAGTATCAAATTCTACTTATATACACTACGGATCATAAACCCATAAGCGCCATCCGTTCTGGTGATAAAAAAGCTAATAATTAATACTTTACTATCAGAATATAAACGAAAAAAAAAATAAAAAAGTTGCACCCCCAGCCGGTATCGAACCACTGACCTTCGCTTCATAGGCGAAAGCTCTACGCGCCGAGCTAATGGAGACTTGCTCGATTTTTATTCAATACTAGAATTGCGCTAAGCGCTAAGTAAAAAATAGAGGATCTTCTTTGGATGCGCAGTAGTGAACGCAACGGGTATCGGCAGCCAGACGGGCCGCATGCTGTTCCAGAGAGCAAAATAAAAGATATATCAAAGAGCCAGACGTCTTAAAATACTTGTTTTCCCGACGTTGTTAGCTCTCGTACTATAAGGTGAAAACAATATTGTCCTCGATAGTGCAGTCCAATTTTTCTGTTTATCATAGAGAAGGGTTCAAATTTAAGGTCAGAAACACAACATGTTTCATTTTATATACAGGGTGGCCCATCGAAAACGTTCCGCAAGGCATAACAGCCAGGGTATTTTTTTTCAAAAAATCCAAAAACACGTCAATTTTGTTTGTGAGGGGGACAACTTTTGCCTCAAAAATGATTGCAAAATCTTCAACCTTCTAAGCGGAGGTGTCATCCCCCAACTTTTTTCAAATAGGAAGGGGGGTCAAGTGGCGTCTCAATGAAAAGGGCTCTCTATTCTCTATATTTCCCCACTTCGTTTTTAAAAATCGGTCGAGTCATTTTGAAAATATGAAAGATTGAAATTTGAAAAGTACTTTTTGCAAAAAACGCATAAATTGAATTAATTAGAAAAAAACTTATCTTATTAATGAAGCAAATGCTGAAAATGTTGCCCGTCAACCTCCATACAGTAAAACAAATTGTTTTCAATCCGTTCTAGAACATTCTGAAGAACTTCCGGGGTCACTTCGCGACAAACATCAATAATTCGTCTTCGCAGGTCTTCTAATAAGGCGGGTGGAGTGCTATACACTTTACTTTTTATGTGTCCTCATAGAAAAAAGTCTAAAGGAGTCAAGTCGGGTGACCGGGGAGGCCACTCAATTGCACCCCTTCGTCTTATCCACCGAACGGGAATGTTATTGTTTAAATAATTACGCACATTTTGAGAGTAATGTGGAGGTGCACCGTCTTGTTGAAATATTAGTTCTGCTTCAACGTATCCAGGATCGTTCTCTATGATGTCAGTTTGGGCTGGGTCGATGGTATTTTTCTGTAAATCCAAGTACATATCACCTGTTAGATTTCCAGGAAGAAAAAAAGGACTCACAATAGAATTTCTAAAAATACCAGCCCACACTTTCAATTTCTGAGGGTTTTGTGTGTGCACCTCGTAAAAAACCCTGGAGTTGTCCTCAGCCCAGTACCGACAGTTGTGCCGATTAACTACACCGTTCAAAAAGAAAGTACACTCTACCTAACCTGATCGTTCAACCTTGTGGCAAGTGAAAAAATGCGTAAACATCTAGAAATAATAAGAAAAAACAGCAAATTGGTCGAAGGAATTTATCCTTATCATTTACTCTGATAAATGTTTAAATAAACTTTTCAAATTTCAATCCTTCATATTTTCTCAATGACTCGCCCGATTTTCAAAAACGAAGCGGGAAAGTATAGAGAATAGACAGCCCTTTTCATTGTACCGGTACCACTTGACCCCCCTTCCCATTTGAAAAAAATTCGGGAATGACACCCCCGCTTAGAGGTTTGAAGATTTTGCAATCATTTTTGGGGCAAAAGTTGTCTCCCTCACAAACAAAATTGACGTGTTTTTGAATTTTCTGAAAAAAAAATTACCCTGGCCGTTATGCCTTGCGGAACGTTTTCGATGGGCCACCCTGTATGTGAAAAAATACATTGTAGTGTGATAAAGGTAGTGGCTAAATTAGTGGATAAACAGACATTATGACTAATACAAGTGTTAGCTAATATGTGAAGCTGTACGCAATAGGAACAATCTTATCTTTAAAAGAACTCCACAGCACTAAAAGTATGAAAACCTCTGAAGCATGTTCCATATTTTCATAAAACAAGATATGTGGTATTTAAAATCGTTTTTTAACTCGACTTTTATTCAACGAAATATGTATTTATGTTAGTTACAATTTACCTTTGATTTTTTTTTCTTTAAATAATTAATATACTAATAAATATTAACCAATAAATAATTAATATTCGAATGACAATATTTATTTTCTCTAATTTATATTTTTTATTTTATGACATAAAAATGACATATCCAAAAGAAAGACAGACGATTGGTCAGTCAGTGTCAAAGACAAAGGTATTTAGAGAGTCGAATGTCGCTGACGTCTGTTAAACAAAAATGAAGCGAATTTACTTATCCATGAAGTTTATAAGATCTAAGTAATAACCATCTATTAAAGAATAAAATCGAAATTATATCACCATAGACGCCTTTTGATTTTTATGTTTTTTTTTGGGACTTTTTTTCAAATTTTCTCTAAAACGGTATGGAAATTTGGAAAAGTATAATGGAGATTAACTATTTTAGAACAAGCAATTTTTTTTACGAAGAACGCATTTTTCTGAAAATATCAATAATAAAAGGTTTTTTTTCTTCTTGTAAAGACAATCCGGGGACATATTGTATATTTCAAGCAGGACACTTTATATGAAGATTTTCTGGAACAGTCGTGGGAAAATATTCTACAATTTTCTTTATCTTATTTTCAGGTACTTGACATTCAGGTCGAAGCATACTTTTATGCCAATATCCTATAGCGTTTTGAAGAAAATTGTTACTTCTTTACCGAAAAACTATAAAGAAAAAATAGCAGAAGATCTAACTTCATTACGAAATAAATTTCAAGAAACTCTAGGAGACAATGGCGTAAGTAATTTAATCTTGTAATAACAAATAATAAATTTGATGTAATGAAAGTGAAATATTTCTGAGATTAGTGAAACAAAAACACCAACACTTGTAGAAATACATATTTTTTCCTGATATTGAAACTATCCTTATGATATTTTAAGTATTGAATATGGAAATCCTTCGTTATATCTCATATATACATCTTCATATAATACGAGTAGACGTTTATGTAGAAGTTTTCTACATAAAAAATAATTTGATGGTGACAATTACAGAACAGACAATATATGTTACGCAGTTAATGTTAAACAACCAGCGGATGGTTTTATTATTGTTCCTATTAATTTTTTGCTAATATGCTATACATTTTTAATACATTTTGGTTTAAAACCTTTATGTTTTAACCAAAAATTATATCAGTCAACAACAATACCGGGTGCGTCTGAAAAGTGGTTCACCCGTGTAACTTTTTTTTATTTTTTCAGATAAAAAAAAGTTTTGGTATGTTAGTATATGACATAAATTAGGATTGATTGACGTATTCAATCATTTTCGGTCACCTGTTTCACCGGAAATGACTACAACTTTTGATCTTTAAATGACACCCTAGGTATTTTTTTACTTCATTTGATAGAAAATGACATTCTGAATAAATGACATAGCATATGTCAACTTTTGACACTTTCAATTAAAAAAAATAGCATTTTAAATTTTAATTTAGAGTGCCATGGTTAAATCTCATTATACCTCATGTTTTAGATTTTGGTAATGCCAACATATCATGTGGAAGCTTTTAAACATGGAGACGCATTAAAATATGCGCTTAATAATGGATATATGTCGATTTTTAATGCTTTGGGTTTCCCTGTTACTAATTGTCCGGTGACGTTAACCAAAGAAGGCCTACCAGTTGGTATACAAGTGAGTAATATTAAAAATCGGTAAATACGTATTTATCTTTGACCTTCGCGGTTTTAATACAGGGTGGTCCGAACTGTATTCCAGAAACTTCTACTACTTTTAGTTCCTATAAATGTATGTCCTAAAATGCTTAGTTTCGGAGATAAATGGTGTAGAAGTTTTATTTTTATTTCAATTTTTTCAAATAATTTATGAAGTAACGTCAATATTTGGATGAATTGGTGTCTGGAAGTTTTTTGCATAGATAAATGAAACAAGTTTAGATTGGAAAGTGCCCATAAGGACAATGTAAACACTATTTGGCGCTTATCTTGCAACGGTCGCGACCCAAAACTTTTAAAAATTTCGGAGCGGTTCGGCTTTTTCCGGAATTATATCGCCAAATATTGTTTATTCAAATTTATTATTATTTTCGTTTAATTTTATAAATAAAATACAATGTGTGCATACAAGAAACTTTATTTTATATAAGGACGCATGTATGAAATACCTATGAAACATTGGAAACCGACGTTATGCCACGATCCACGATGATTTTTGCAGTTCACAGTTCACAGCACAGCTTTTTAAGTTTTTAATGCCACTTTTTCACAATTATCACCGGTTGGAGTAAATAAAACTTGAATTAAACTCACAAGATAGCAATAATTACTTTGAAAATGAACGCTATAAACATTTTTCGGAATTTCTTTAATGAGAGCGGTTTAGATTTTGAAAGATTATTATGATTTTTGAAGATTCTGTCTTTGACAAGAGAAAATTATTTCTGTTTTTGTTTGCCGTTGTTCTTAGCGACCGCTATAGCAGCGCCAGATCGCGTATAACGGTCGCGACCCAAAATAATTTCGCGACCTAAAATTTTTACGGGCTTTCCAATCTAAACTTGTTGCATTTATCTATGGCTTTTTGATATGAGAAATTTGATTTTGATGTCAATATGACTCCTACTTGTAGAGGGCGCAACCTACATATTTCTTAACTGGTTTGAAGAGTAATAACTTTTTGTCCGTACCTGTCTAAAATTACTGAGTAAAAAAATATACATTTACGACGCTTTTTACGTAGAAAATATCTCTAAAATCGCTACGAGTAAAGGTTCTCGAGATATCTGGAATCGAAATTATCAGTACTTGTCATGCGCAGAATTATAATGAAATTAATTTACTTGATTCCATAATTTTTCAATCACATTATTGAAAATCCGTATTGTTTGTAGTATATACAGAAAAGTCCACAGACTTCGAGACATAGGAAAATCAAGTCCATTTAGCGTGTGTCCAAATTTTGACAAGTTTTCAAAAATGACAGTTTTGTTTAGACTGACGTTTAATTTCACCTGACTTCTCGGTGAATGATTTCTTTTTATGGGGGTACATAAAATCTAAAATTTACAGCCATGAAAAAATTCAAAACTTGGAGCAGTTAAGGCAGAAAATATTTACGATGTACTTAAACAGCCGTTAAACGGTAGCCTACTAAAATGCCGTTAATAGATATTGTGGCGTCGTTCATGTCGGCGGAAAGTAATGCCTAGCCTTAAGCATTATGCAAGAGCACCTGTGGGTCAGTGGCTGAGGCTATCGCTTCGTAAGCGAATGGTCCGTGGTTCAAATCTCACACCGACCAAGACTTTTTTTATATTTTTTTGCTTATCGTGATCTTATTGCATTGGTTTCACTCTTTTTGGTTGGGTTGGTTTAGTTATTTGGCGGGTTGGTTAGCGTGGTTATTTGTAGGGTGTTAATTCATTGCTTAGTTGGTTATTTGGTGGGGTTGGTTGATTTTTACTAATTTATATTTGTATTTTATATTTTTTTAACAGTGTCGAGGTTAGTTGCGTTGGTTAAGTTGGTTATGTGGCGGGGTGGATAGCGTTGGTTAGTCCTTATAAAATTCCTATATTTCATAAAGCCGTCAAGTGCGTCACATCAACGACGTCATACCTATTAACGGCATTGTAGTAAGCTACCGTTTAACGGCAGTTTAAGTACAGCCAAATATTTAATGCCTTTGACACTCTCACCCCTGATATGTTATACAATGTGGGTTTACAGGTACCCTTATTTTCTATGAAAATCACACAGCTTTTTTCATAGTCCATAGTCATATAGCTATAAAAAACTAATTTTTTAAGGTGTGAAAATTGCGACACACGCTAAATGGACTTGATTTTTCCTATGTCTCGAAGTCTGTGGACCTTTCTGTATAAATATAACCTTCAAATATAACCCTCTAATTATTTATTAATATAACCCTCTAGGAATTTACTTTTGACATAGTTGCAGTTAAGACAATTTTTGAATGAATTAGTGAATCATATTTCTGCAGATTATGCAAAAATATTTCAAGTGCATAATGATTAGTGCAATATTCTTTGAATGGGAGTTTAATATGCTTTTACAACACGAATTATGTACTATACCATATGATCGAAAAAAAACAGCGTCAAGGACAGCTGAGGAATCACAATCGATGGTAATTTTGGCGATTTCAAGTTATTAATTTTTTAATGGTACTTACCGCCGCGCCAGTGGGCCCTAAGAAGGTTGTAATCTGTTGTAATTATGTATCAATGACATGAATTAAACATGTTGACTTAATAGTTATTCGACTGAAATCATAAATTTGAAATATTTTTGTGCCATAAGTTCAACAGAAACTTTTTATTCATCATTTTTTCATAGAAAAATTTATGATTAAATAAAAAAAAATCTCAAATTTAATATATCTGTCAATAACTATATGCTCAACGTGTTTATTTTTTGTCAATAATGACATGTATTGACTATTTCCATTCTAGATATCTTGAGAACGGTTGCTCGTAGTGATTTTTACTAAAAGACATTTTTTTACGTAAAAAGTCACGGGAATGTATATTTTTTCACGCAGTAGTTTTATACAGGTACGGACGAAAAGTTATTACTCTTCAAAACAGTTAAAACATATGTAGGTGGCGTCTACTATAAATATGAGTCATATTGACATCAAAATCAAATTTATCATGTCAAAAAACTCCCAGACACCAATTTTCATCCAAATGTTGACGTTACTTCAGAAATTATTTGGAAAAAGTCGACTACTACTTCTACACCCTGTATCTCCGAAACTAAGCACTTTAGAGCATACATTTATACGAACTTTTTTACTTATTTTTATCTGCAGAATATGCTGCCGAAGTTCCCGGAATACAGTTCGGACGATCCTGTATAGTGGCTTATTAAAATCATCTAAAGAAATTAACTTCTGCAAACGGCAAGCTTTTTCTGTATTATGGCATTATGGCTAAACAGTATTGTTAAATTTTGCATTGTTAAATTTATTATTTTAGGTTGTGGGTATGCCCTATTCCGATAAACTTACGTTGGCAATAGCTGAAGAAATCGAGAGAGCATTCGGAGGCTGGAGGGAACCGCAGAAATAAAATGGAATATGTTTAATATTGCTGGTTGTATAATCTGTGATTTAATAATTAGGCATTAAGCTATATAAAATATTAAGGCAAATAAAATGTTTAATAGTATTCAATACACATATCATTTTGTGTAAGGTGTACATATTACTTTATTGTATTGAGTTTCTTTAACATATTTTTATATCGTATGCAATGTAGGATTGTATTAAAGAATTTATGTGATCTTGATTTTTTTAAAAACAGATATTTTTATAAAATTTTGGCTAGCAATTTTTTTATTTATAAAACTATGGTAAATATGGATACATCATGCTAATTGTGATAAAAACTTTCAATTTTGTATTTTAGAGTAAGTGTTTAACGTCACATTTTATATATATGTTTTAAATATTATTAATAAATCTGGAAATTGAAATTAAATTATTTTTCATTTTTAAATTCCTTCCTATAGAAAGTGCAACAATTGCAATCTAAAAGGAAGAGAATGGACGAAATGTCCGGTTGAACTCTTTATGTGCATCTTCTCCTAGGAGACGCTTAAAGGCACCCATTCAGGGGGCGATTTTGTAGCAACCAAGTTGAGCGATAAAATTGCTTCTAAATTTCTTGAAAATTTGGTTGCTTGGAAGGGACCATTTATAAAGCGACATTCAAGCAATTTGGTCAATCAGTTTTTCTGGAAATTAATTTCAGTTGCTGTTTTTTAGTAGTTAAGCATAAAAATAGTTGAGCAACCCGGTTGCCGACGTCCACTGATTGGGCGATCCTCATACAACTTCTTTAAATTGCTGGCAATCGCAACCCGATTCATCTTCAGCACTGTAAATCAAAAGATTGCTTGGCATCTTTTGATTTACCCATTCCCATAGAAATTTACATATAAAATGACAGCGATCGTCATTTCATAGCCATCGCTGACGCCGTTTTTATTCGATCAAACGGTAGTTATTAGACTGAAATAAAAAATTTGAAATGTTTTTGAGCGAAAAGTTCAACAAAAACTGTTTTATCATAGTTTTTTCGAAGAAAAATTTAATAATAAAGTTCCCAAATTTATCATTTCAGTCAAATAACTATGTATTGACTATTTCCATTTTAAATATCTTGAGAATGGTTGCTCGTAGCGATTTTTACCAAGAGACACTTTTTATGTAAAAAATCACGGAAATGTATATTTTTTCACTCAGCAGTTTTATACGGGTACGGACGAAAAGTTATTACTCTTCAAAATACTTAAAACACATGTAGTGGTGCCACCCCCTACAAAGAGAAGTCATATTGATACTAAAATCAAATTTCTCATGTCAAAAGACTTCCAGACTCCAATTTTTATGCAAATGTTGACGTTATTTCCGATAATATTTGAAAAATGTCGAAATAAAAATGAAACTTCTTTTTTAACGCACTTTTTTACTTATTTTTATCTGCAGAATATGATGCCAAAGTTTCCGGAATACAGTTCGGACCACTCTGTATAAAAATAAAAAAGTTCGATTAATAGAACCCCGAACGAAATAATACGCCAACAAAGTTTTTTTCCTTTTTGAAAGAGAGTTTGATAAAAACAGGAAAGTCTCTTTAAATTGTAAAAGCGAAATCGACGATGGATTAAAACCGAAATTTATTCCTTTCTGGTGGGGCTTTCATTAATTTCTGGGATCCTGGAACAAGTCAAATAGATTGGCGGTGTTTAAATTCCACGGAGGACCGACGAAAAAGGGAGAAACACGAAAAACCGAGTTTTGGAAAACGATCCTCCCCACTTTGTCTGGCTTTATCTATCCTCCTTTCTCTTTTATTATCTCGACCCTATTCTAGTTTTTTCCACTTAATTAAAAAACTTCTGTCTAACTAGAAAAACGTCTTCTCTCTATTTAGAAAAGTCGTTTATTTTTTTATTATTAAATAAAGTATCTCAATTATTTAACTTATAAAAAGCTTTACTACACTCACCAGCACGAAAAACGGTTTTTTTTTTATAGGAGATATTCGCTTTTGGATAAGACAGTAACGATATACAGCAATTTTAGCCTTCATCAAGTGGTTAATAGCCTACCCTTGCGGTTAAAGTACTATTTTATCTACTATTTTTGATAGATATGAGGCAATTTTAACAGTTGCTATGGAAAAAATAAAATTAAAACATAGTTATTTTTTGTACAAGACGATAAAATGGTATTTTATCATCGACCGAAAAGATTTCGGGAGACGATAATGCAATTTTATCGTTGTGTATAAAACAATATTTTTTTCCATAGCGAGTTACATTTTAGAAAATATTCAGAAATTAATATTTCAAGGAATTTATTGCGAGTCGAAAAGTCGTTGGTTTCTATGTAATTTGACAAATAAATAAAGCTGTCTCTTTAGTTGTCAGCAGGGGGGTGACAGTAAACCGGAAAATTGGAAACAGTTGTGGCGCGGTTCTACCCAGGCAGAAAGCATGGCCTTCTAGACTGTCCTAGACAAAAATCTGAATATTTCTATATGATTTCTGTCAATTTCTGCTACGGAACATTTTTATGCACGTCGGCGTCCTGTTCTTTTGTCTTTTGTCTGTGTGTCAGTGTGAGCCTCCGAGGCCTCTGGCAAGGTCGGGCGCCATTTTAATTTTTGCCGTTTAGATTTGATTGGAAGTTTGTTTCTGATATTTCGGCTGAAATTTATAAGTACAAAGATGTTTTTTGATATAAAGTTCCTTGTTAACACTTTAATAAAGTATATATGATATTAATTACATGAAGAAAATGATGAAATCGACGTTTCGGCGTGTAGCAGGTATGGGCCATATTATAGGTAAAAATAGGTAATATATTAACTGTTTTTATATTTTTTTAGCTTTAAACCCAAGGATCTTGGGATATTCTTTCAAGGATTTTTCCGTATCTCTACTTTAAAGACTGATCGGTGATTTTGAGCAATTGAAAGCAAGTTATACAAGGTAAATTATGATTATTGAACTATTATTAGCCTACGTTAAATTTCTACAAGATGAACAGAAATGCGTAATTACATATCACATAGGTACCTATTATGTATTTTCATAGCAATAATGCTATAAATCTATGTATGTAGATTATTTTTAAAATACAAATGAGGTATTAGATGTATATGTATCATATTTTTTATTCATTTTATTTTCATTCAAGTCCTGTTTGATTTAATTCACAAAAGTCTTATGTAGGTACCTATATTTATATTTTTTACATATTTTTTTTGATTCCAGGTTTTGTGTGGGTTCCGGTTGCCTTTTTCCTGCTTCCAGTTATTTATCCGTGAAGCTGTGAAAACATTTATTTATCTTCAAGTTTCTGTAAGTCAATGCACTGTTACTTTACTAATTCGCTTTAACACAGCATCTCTGATATTATTTAAATATTTAATATTGATACAGTAGTTTATTGGTTTATAGCTCTTTAATTGTGTTGATTTGCATATTTACATTGTTCTAAATTCCAAATAAATTTTTTGAGTAATTTTGCTGTATTATTTACTACTAGAAAGAGTAAAAAGTATATTAACCCTCATTTAAACCTCCCGAACAGCCCGCCATTAAAAACCGGAAACGGAAATAAATTTCATAAAATTGAAATTGTCATGTCTATGTCATGTCATAGTCATGTCAAATGTCCCAGCCGCCATATCTGAAAATTAGTTACCCAGGCAGCCACGCTGTTTCCATAATTTAACATTCACTTGACACTTCTTCTTGTATTTATTATTTTATGGTTGTCAGTTTTGAGTCAATATTTTTTAATTCTCTTTCGTGTCGATTGCTGATTGAATTGGAGCCAGAAATGGCTCAAAAGGAAATAAGTAAATTACCAACAGATAATCAGGCTGAGGCGACAAACGCAATACCCAAACTACTTCCATTTAAATTCCGAATAACTTATGAAAAGGAATACAAAAATTTTCAAAAATGGAAGCAATTAAAAAACGTGCGAGAAGAAATAAAGTTTTTAACCTATCCTCGCTGTTAAAGTATCATTTAATCTACCCTTGTGGTTAAGGTACTATTTTATCTACTATTTTTGATAGATATAAGGCAATTTTAACAGTTGCTATGGAAAAAAGAATAAAATTGATAAATTATTTACTCAATGTAATTAATTACTAAATTTTATTAAAATTTATAACAAGGATGGACAGTGCTACTTACATGAAATTCCTCCAACAAATAATAGTATTTAAGAAAATTATAAAAGGCCTATTTTTTAAAAGTTTTAACAACCTGTAAAACTATGCATGTTAAAACTATGCATTTCCGTACCTATGTTTATAGGGACTTTTTTCATATTTTTTGATGAAGACAGAGATGAAGAATCAATGAGTACTTATTTAACGTTTTGGCAAGTTAATGACATTAAACTTTTTAAAAGGTTGCTATTAGAATTCGATTAAGGCAAATTAATTATATTGAGTTTATCTCATCAAGGAGACAAAATATCTACAAAATATTAAGAGAAAACTTTTAATCAGCATTTAACTGTCTATATAATTTTACTAATAAAAAAAAGTCAAAACATTTATAAATATTAAACTTTTGTATCATTAAAATCAGATTTAAATTGCCAGTTAGATAATATATAACAGACTTCCTTAATAAATTAATTAATTGAAATATATTTTATATAACATTTTATCTTATCTGTAACCTGGTCTGTTCATGGGATGACTCGAATAATACCCTAGGGCTAAATCTATCAATGAAAACGGGCATTTAAATGTTTCAGAACATTTATCTACGATCTCTTCAGAATATTCATCAATTACCCCACTATCGTCCTTTGATCCTAAAGTCGATGCATAATGGTATAATCTATGACTATCAGGTTCATGTTTCAATATTGGTTCTTGAGGAAATCTGAAAAAGGGTAAGACATCTAAATATTTGTTTCGCCAAATGCCAAAGCAATATTTAGGTATAGTTCATACCAAATGAACTTTTAGTCACGTGATTAAGCTTGACCGGCAGAGCGTTGCTCACTTTTATATAGTTTCTTTTAATCAAAACATTACTACCGCTTTCCCATTCAAAATATTGTAATAAACAATGACTAAAGAATATAAGGACATGGAACGCCCATATACGGGCTGCAGCAGAATTTGTAACCTTAGAGGCCATTCTTTTGATGGCAAACAATGAGTCATCATTTGGTCACCAGCGACAATATTAGCGATTTTTATTAGTTCGTGTGTAGTGAACTTTGTATAAACTTTATTACAATGGTGATTAGTTGTTCAGCTTTCAAGTTTAAAAGCAGCAGCGATAAGAAAGAGCCAGGAGTTACGTTTCATAGGTAAATAAACAGTCCACTCCAACTTTTAGGCGTTTTCTTATTGAATTCGATAATTATTCTTCAATTTCAATCAACATCTATATGTACTTGATATGTGCTATACATCGATACTAGTTTTGTACCTTTTGTTAACATTTTAATACGTTTTTTTCGTAATTATTTAGTATGATACACCATAGGCGTAGTCAAAACAATTATCAAAAAATATAAATATTGCTTCAAACAGCTAGGTTAAGAAAAATATGTGTTATATCACTGTTTGCTGACATCGGCACAATTTGCTCTCGGGTGTTATTGGTCCTTGGATTCTTTAGTCATTGGTAATAAAGTTGGTTAGGTTAGGTACACTTCGCACTAAAAGAGGTTATAAGAAGAACAATGTTCGACTGCAAGGTCTGCTAGTAAACATTTTCAAGCTTTTTATTTAAACCAAAAACTCGTAATACAAATGAATGAAAGTGAAATGTCAAAACGAATGAACAGTGTCAGGAAATAAATAAATAAATGCGGCAACTTCACATTTTTTACAGCAGAGTTACCACCTGAATCGCCAGCGCGAAATTTAAATTCCAGTTAGTCAGCACGGCGCCGAATATGTCCATGGTTGGCAACAATGAATTTAAAAATCGCGCCCTCGATTACGTAACTAAAAGTTTAATTGATATGAAATATACTTATCTGTAAACTGATAGAAATAAACAAATTTTACCTGAATATTAAACTTAGTATGTGGTATGCTAAACTATCTTCTTTCAAACGAAGCCTTTGCCCTGCCTCGCATAAACTCCTTAAAATGCAGGATTTGCCATCGTATCCCATGCTAAAACGAACATATTTTACTATTGTTTGGCAGTAAAACTTTATAATGAATTTCATATTTTTGAGAACTGTTAAACTATTCCTTTCCCTATTTGCAACGATTATCCGCTTCGAAACTTTACAGGAATTTTAATTATTTCTAGAGTATTCTACATAGCGGTGTGAAACTTAAGATCATTTCGTATTATCCTCGGGTTATTGGTATATGGAATATGCTGATTCCAAGCGACATGCCAGAATTCAAGAGAAATTTACGTTAGATACTAGACAGGGTGCGTCTCAAAACTGGTTTACCCCTGTTATAATTTTTTTATTTTTTCAGATAAAAAAAATTGTGTGCGCACTATGTGTTGAAGTGAAACTTCTTACTAACAGCTATTAAATTTTATAAACTTCAAAAAAATAGAGTTAATATAAAACCGTATACTTTTCTAGCTTTAAAATTTTTTATAATGTTTTTTTAATTTTTATTAAAAAAACGATAATTTTATTACCCGGCCGGATAGCTGTGGCCATTAAACCAAAATACTACTACATCTATATCGTTGACTACTACTAACCAACAATTTGTTTTGTGTAGTCTGTGGTCTGTTTTTGTTTAAATGTTTTGTTCATTATTCATGTTGGGGATTTAATTTTAAATTAATTTTAATCGTTCGGCAATCAGTAAACTCATAGAATATGTATTTCTTTTGCATAATCAAAATTGTCCCTCTAAATTTTACATAACCAAATTGTCACTCTAATTCACTCTAAATCGTCTCTTTTAGACAGATGTCACTTGTCTTATTATTATTCAATTCATTATTCGAATTCTCAGAATGTTGTTAACAAAAGTTTCATCTTAAAATAAAATTTTAATCAATCACAATTGTTTATCTCCATCATTTACCGGATAAATAATACAGAAATTATACCTCAATTACAAACAATTCATTATTTATAGTGATTTACAGTAATTTTATTAAATTATACGAATATTCTCGCGTTGATTATTGGTTTGAAATAAATATGACAGTGTCCTCCAATGAAAATGCGAGTTACTAACTCTAAATTCTAATTCTGAGCTTGCAAATGAGCTAGATGCTTTACCTAGACCGTTATTCAGAAGCTACAAACCTATCAATGAAAATATGTATGAAATCAAGGTTGGTACGGTTTCAAGTTTATTATAGTGATTTTCTTAGTCGCGTATGGCACAGATTGTTTATTCAAGGCTTTGAATTTTTACTCCCAACGCGCGTAAAGAAGTTTTACTTCAAAAAACAAGATTTGGTACTTAAGTGCCCGAAATGCATTTTTGTAATTTAAAACTTGTTACAAACAGGCAAAAACCTTCTTCTTGCGGTGCCGTGCCTGTCTTCAGGCGTTGGCGATCTCCATGACTATTTCGTGGAAGAGTTCTCTATCTTCTGCTGCATGAAACAGCCTCTCCACCCCCAGACCGGTCCAGTTCCGTATATTTCTGAGCCATGACAGTTTCTTTCGACCTACCCATCTTCTACCTTTTCCTTGAATAATCAAACGAGGAATATAATATTTGGTGCCACGCATTATGTGTCCGAAGTAGCTCACCTTTCTGGCCTTGATGGTGGTTAATAGTTCCCGACCTTTGTTCAGCTGTCCAAGAACTTTCTCGTTGCTTATATGTTCGGTCCAAGAAATTTTAAGAATTCTCCGGTAGCACCACATTTCAAAGGCTTCTATTTTATTTATATTCTCGACTTTTAGCGTCCATGCCTCACATCCGTAAAGAAGAGTGGACCATATGTAACAACGTAGTGTTTGCAATCGGGTTTGCAGTGACAGGTTTCTATTAGTGAGCGTGGTATTCCATATTTTGAATGTTCTATGTGCCATTTCACTATTTAGCCAGCTTCCTAAATATCTAAAATGTTGTACTTGTTCAATATTGTGTCCGCTGATTTTTATCGGGATTGGATTAATTTGTATTTTACCCACAAACATCCATTTCGTCTTCTTGATATTTATATTAATACCCCATTTGTGCAACTAGCTTCATGAACCTAGCAGCGTTTACAAGTCTTCCATGCTTTCTGCGACAATGGCGGTGTCGTCTGCGTACCTTACGTTATTTATGATCTCGCCTCCAATTTTAACGCCATATATTCTGCCGGATAAAGCCTCGTTAAAGATGTTCTCCGAATACAAATTGAATAATAACGGTGACAAAACACACCCCTGTCTTACTCCTCGTTTTATTGGGATGTCATTTGTAGTTCCTTCATCGACCCTAACAGCAGCAGTTTGATCGTAGTACAAGTTTACTAAAAGGCGCATGTCATAGTTGTCTACGTTATGCAATTTCAGATGCCGAAAGAGCTCTGTATGTCTGACTCGATCAAATGCTTTTTCAAAGTCGATGAAGCACACATAGATGTTCTTGCAAAATTTGCTGCACTTTTGCAACAATAGCCTCATGCAAAACAGGGCTTCACGTGTGCCTAGTCCGCTACGAAATCCAAACTGCTTTTTTCCGATGCTCTGTTCACATTTAGCATATATTCGGTTGAGGATTATTTTTAAAAGTATTTTTAACATGTGGCTCATCAGACTAATAAGCCTAAAGTCATCACATTTACTCGCTTTGGTATTCTTGGGTAAAACAATAAATATCGATCTCTGCCAGTCGCCAGGTAATTTTCCACTTTGGTAAACCTGGTTAAAGAATGCTGTCAAGACAGATATACTGTCGTTGTCGAGAAGTTTTATTAGTTCCGCGGGTATTTCGTCTGGTCCGGGAGTCTTGTTTGTTTTTGCCTGTTGTATGGGTTTTTCCACTTCCGATTTGAGTATACTTGGACCACATTCTGCTTCATAATCTGCCAATAGTATCTCTGGAGCTTCCCGAGTGTCGTCATCAAATAGTATGTGTCGTTGCCACTCATCACATCGGTCTTCATTTGTCATTAATACTTGTCCACTAGTGTTGTGCAGTACTGATACCAATTTTCTCTTCTGTACACCAGAGATTTTTTCAGCTTTTTATGTAAGTTAAAATCATCGTGTAAGCTTTGAAGGTGTTCTATTTCTTTACAGGATTCCTGAAGCCATGTTTCTTTTGCTTCTTTAATCTTTTTGCGAATTACCCGATGCGTTCGTAAGTACTGGACATGATCGTTGTTCTTATATTTTCTTCTTTCTTCCATGAGGCCTAATATTTCTTGCATCATCCACTTCTTTCGTGCTTTTGTTTTTTTGGGTTTAATCATTTCATCTATATTTTGATTTCTTAGTGAAACCTTGATATCCTGCCAATTGTCTTCAACGCTTTTGTTTTCAAGTGGTGTTACAATTGTGTGCATGTTGCCATTCACTTCCTGTGATAGGTTCTTTAGAATTTCAGGTTCCTTTAATATCTCCTGTTGCATTCGTGATCTTTTAATCGGTTTGCTATTCTTTTTAAGCCTTATGTTTAGTTTTGAGCAAAGTAAGTTATGGTCTGAGTGCACATCTGCAAAAACCTAACGTTTAGGAAATACAGTATGACATTTAGATGTAGTACAGTAATAAAATAAAAATAGATACAGTTTTTCTTAAATTACTTAAAATCAGCTTGTCCAAAAGTGTACAAATTTGGTATGTGTATTCAGATTTTTAAAAATTTATTGAAAAATTCAGTCCTTTAATAATTCACAGACCTTTAAAAATAGTATATACAGGGTGGCGCCTCTCATACGCCGCGGAGGTTCCAAGGGGAACGACAGTTTGTATTGAAATGAAATTTTGTGACCATATGTAAGTTAATTTATAGCACTTTTTAAAAATATACAGAACTCTACAGGGTGTCCCAACAAAAAGTTACGTATCAAAGTTGTGTTTTTTGTAATGGAACACCCTATATATTAATTGATTTTCGGATTCTGGGAGAAAAATAAAGGTGAGTTTTATAAGACTAAAATGTAAGGTTTTTGACATATTTAACATTTTACAAAGCTACCTAAACTGGAATTTGTCCGGTATAGCCTAATATGTAGTTAAATTAACTATCGTAATTTAAATCAAATTAAAACTTGATTCCAAAAGTTATACAGGGTGAGACAAAATTAATAATGAACATTGGTCACCTTTAAAAGCATGTTACTCTTTTATTTTAAATGGAACACCCAGTATATTATTTCGATATTCAATGGAGAATTCATGTCTCTTCAAAATACTATTAAGGTTGCCTACCCCTCAAACAAAGATTTTCCTAGATATTTTCATTTACATGATTTGATCTGAGTAGATCTTTATTATTTGATAAAATCTAGGTGGCTTTGATATGTCTGACTTTACTTCAACGTAGCTGTCTAATTAGTTCAACTTTAACAACTAGTTATCATTTTGTGTCAGTTAAAACAAAAAAAAAATCAGAAATTTGCCGAAAATGCAAACTAATCCTACATCAGATATGATGAATTGATATGATACTATTAGTAGGTCAATGCAGTGTGCCTTCACCAGTTAATAGAATACTTAAATAAATAAATAGAATAAATTTCTGATTTTATCTAGTCTAGGTTTTTTATGGGGATATGTTAAAGACAGTGTTTACAAAACTCGACCAACTATTGTCGACAACATGAGAGAAATTATTGAGCTGCTTCTCGAGGTAGAACTCGACATATGCGTTTTAAAATGAAAAGATCGTTTTTGAAAAGACAATTATTTTATGCAGTTAACAGGAAAAGAAGTATTTTGAGCATTTGATTTCATCTAGCTAATTTTTGTCACATAATTATAGTTTTATATCTAGTTTTAATTCTATAATAATTAAAATATGTTTTAAACGTGTATCTTTTTATTACCGTTAAGTATTTTACTCTACAATCTTTAGTTTTTGTTAAATTAACAAAAGGTATATCACAGCCACCTAAATTTTTTCAAATAATAAAGATCTACTGACCCAAAATCATAAAAATTAAAATATCTAGGAAAATCTGTGTCTGAGGGGTAGGCAACCTTAATAATATTTTGAAGATACATAAATTCCCCATTGAACACCGGCAAAATATACTGGGTGTTCCATTTAAAATAAAGGAGTAACTTGCTTTTAAAAGTGACTAATATTCCATATTAATTTTGTTTCACCCTGTATAACTTTTCGAGTCAAATTTCAATTTGGTTTAACATACATTGGTTACTGTAATTAAATTTTAGGCTATACAAGGTCAACTAAAATTTAGGTAGCTGTTATCGAAATTTTGAAATTTACTCTTCATTTTCACAAAATGTGAAATATGTCAAAATCCTTAGATTTTAGGTATATGATTCTTTAATAAAACTCACCTTTATTTTTTTCCTACAATCCGAAAATCAATTAATATATAGGGTGTTCCAATTTTGATGTGTAACTTTTTTTGGAGACACCCTGTATAAGTCTATATATTTTTATAAAATGATTTCAGGTAACCTACATATAATAATAATAATAATAATAATACTTTATTTTGCATGAATATCATTTACAACAAATGTAATTTACAAATAAAAAACAACAATACAAAAAACATGCAAAAAAGGAACTGAAGACAATTAAAATTGGTTTAAATTCAGTTCCTGTCAGATCACAATATCAGCTAGTATAAATGTGTGTTATGTAGCTAAATTATTTTACTGTAACTTATCTACAAATATAAGTAAATTATATAGTAATCCTATGACTAAGAAAATTTAGTATGAAATTCAAAGAAATAAACACAAAGAAAAGTATTTTATACTAAAATAATTCTGAGGTAAAAAAAAACTAAGAGGGAAGAGAACTATCCAGAAAATGTTTTTTAAGTTTATTTTTAAATGCAGCACTCTAAGGTTCATCATTTCTGCTGGTAAACAGTTGTAAAGCTTGGAAATATTAAATGAGAAACATCTAGTGAACAATGCTGTTTTGTGAGGTGGTGGAGTAATAAGTCCCTTAAATCTAAGGTTTAAGTTGTGCACATCTGTTCTGAATTTTATTTTATTCACCAAGTATGGAGGACACTTCCTAGAAATAACTCCATGAAATAAAACCAATGAATGCATCTTACGTCTGTTTTCCATATTCAACCACTTAGCTTCTTTTAACTTATGCGAAATGGGATCATATTTTCTTATACCATAAATAAAACGTAGGCAGCCTTTTTGAAGCTTCTCTATTCTGTTAATGTCAATTTTTTCTAGACATGGTCCATATATAATGTCACAGTAGTTGAAATGGGACAAGACAAGTACTTCAGCTAACTTTATTTTTAAAGTTTCCGAAAGTGACTTTCGATGCGGATATAACATTTTTAAAGAGATGTAAGACCTTCTGATACATTGAGAGACATGTTCCTTAAAGCGAAGATTATTATCTATAATTAATCCCAAATTCTTGGCAGATTTAGTAAATTGTAATTTTTGTTCAGCTAAACTTATTGACATTACGCCAGATAGAAAATCCCGGTGTTTACCAAATATCATAACAGATGATTTATCTGGATTTATTGCCAGGCCGTGATGATTTGAGATTTTTTATTTAAATCGTCATTTATTAACGTTTGAGCTAATGTCCATTCATCGAAATTAAACGAAAAGAAAAGTTGTGTATCGTCTGCGTAGCAGTGTGCATTAACATTATCTAGGTATGTAGAAATATTACTTGTATATATTGTAAAAAGTAAGGGTCCCAAGATAGATCCCTGTGGAACTCCACAACTAATAACTTCCCTCGGTGATTCCCCTGTAGTAGTTTTTTCTACTTGGAGCTTCCGCGGCGTATGAGAGGCGCCACCCTGTATTTTTTTATTTTCAACTTACGATTTTAACACCTTTTCTACTCTTGTATACAAATCCCTTCGATTTCTTCTTTTCATCGCTGGCTTATACACATCTAACAAGGGTTTCGTATCGTTCGGCAGTTCGTATACTATACCCCAATTGATGTTGAGAGAAAAAATATCCGTGTCAGCCGGCAATTTCATTAGGTTCGTTAAACAAAATACCCCCTGAAAGCAAAATTCGAAAATGAACCTGATTTTATATACATATTTTCATAAATTTGGTTGGTGACGTAAATATAATTTTGAAATATTTTAAAATAAGATTAAATGGTTATTGCTTTCACGTTATTTAATATACAGGGTGGTCCGAACTGTATTCCGAAAACTTCGGCAGCATATTCTGTAGGTAAAAATAGATAAAAAAGTCCGTATAAATATATGTCCTAAAATGCTTAGTTTCGGAGATACAGGGTGTAGAAGTTTCATTTTTATTTCGATTTTTTCCGAATAATTTCTGAAGTAACGTCAATATTTGGATGAAAATTCGTGTCTGGGAGTTTTCAGACACGAGAAATTTGATTTTGATGTCAATATGACTCCTACTCCTAGGGGACGCCATCTACATGTGTTTTAACTGTTTTGAAGAATAATAACTTTTCGTCCGTACCTGTATAAAACTACCAAGTAACAAAATATACATTTACATAAAAAAAAGTCTCTTGATAAAAATCGCTACAATTAATGGTTCTCGAGATATTTGGAATCGAAATTATCAATACCTGTCGAAAAATTAAACATTTCGACTAAATAGTTATTAGACTGAAATCATAAATTTGAAATGTTTTTGTGCCAAAAGTTCAACAGAAACTGTTTTACTATTTTCATCTTTTCGAAGAAAATTTTATGATTAATTTAAAAAAATAAAATTTCCTACATTTATTATTTCAGTCAAATAACTAATCTACTCAACGTGTTATTTTTTGTTAATAATGACACGAACTGACTATTCCCATTCCGATCCATAAATATCTTGTGAAAGGTTGCTCGTATTTTTACCAAAAAACATTTTTTACGTAAAAAGTCACGGAAATGTTTATTTTTTCACTCAGTAGTTTTATGCAGGTACGGATGAAAAGTTATTATTACTCTTCAAAACAGATAAAAAACATGTAGGTGGCGCCCCCTACAAATAGGAGTCATATTGAAATCAAAATCAAATTTCTCATATCAAAAAGCTCCTAGGCACCAATTTTCATCCAAATATTGATTTTACCTGAGAAGTTATTTCGAAAAAATCGAAATAAAAATGAAACTTCTACACCATGTATCTCCGAAACTAAGCATTTTAGGACACACATTTATTCGAATTTTTTTACTTATTTTTATCTACAGAATAGGCTGCCAAAGTTTCCGGAATACAGTTTGGACCACCCTGTAGAGTAAACAATAATTTCATCCATTTAAAGTTTTGAGCTAATATTATGTTTTCCTTTAGTGTTTTTATTAACTTTAAAGCTTATTTCGTACCCAAAATTGAGTTACATTGTGTTTTTGAAATTTTATTATAAATAAAATACTCACCGAAAATGCTGAACCCTCGGGAAAAGCCAGATATCGCCTTTTTCTTATTAAAGACCTACTGTTCTCCCTAGAACCTACTTTCATAAATATACTAACCAAAATAATGGAAACGAACAATATTTCTTTCGACTTCATAATGACATAACTGAATTATAACAAGAAATAAGGTGTGACGACAACTGAACGTATTAATTAAAAAAATCAATGTGGGAAAGAGAGACATAATTGTGTGAAACAATTTGTAACGGTTCTTTAAAAGTTGAACTAAATATGTATCTGTCTAATTAGGTACCTATGTTTGTAGTTCTGAGATATTAATAAATTGAAAAGTGAGAAGAAAATATCATCCTAAATACAAAGAATATTATTTTGGCGATATTCAAGAGAAATAAAATTTAATAGTTAAAATATGCATAAGAGTTTTTAAGTCATTTTCAAGGCAATGTGGTAAAAAAAGAGCATCTTCCGATTATTATAATGCATCTCTCATAATTTCGATTAGCTCTAGCATTATAGCTACTCTATCCACTGAATATTAATTGGCACAAAATATAATCTACATAAGCTTTTGCAAATTTCTATACATAATCCATAGGTGATGTGCCAGGTATTAATTGTTTGGTAGATTTACCGATATGAACTCCCACCTTCCGAACTACCATTTTTAATAAATATAACAGAAATTAGATTTTCATATGAAAGAAAATGCCATTCCATTTTATAATTCATCATTTTCTACCACTTTCAAGCAAATATACTAGTATAATAGGCAACATTGAATTGGATGCGGTGAAACATTTTTCAGAATATATATATGTGGTCACAATACATTGCCCTGCGAAATTCATAACAGCGCTGATTGAAAGAAATGGTAAGATAGGCAATCTAATGGGCAAATTCGTGACAACGCTTGAAACGGATTTGATTTCCCCTTATGTCTCAAGTGCTGTATGGTGCAGCATACAACTCTACTCGTTCTGTCGCCAATACATAAAACACTAATTTTGTAGACATTTTCTCTAATTCGGTTAGCGAAAGCATATCGAAGATACTGTGGAACTGAAAGCGACAGTGTTGCCATATTAAAATGTGTAATATCTGTAATACGTTTGACGAAAATATCTTTGGATGAAAAATCCGCGTTTATGCATCGAAAATTTATTCGTGTTAAACATAGAATAAACAACAAAAATAAAAATTCTTTTTAGGTACTGAATATTTCGTATGATCAAAAAAAAATCGTTTAGTTGGGTTTGAAATGACGAATATTGACTTTTACCATATATTTTACAGATGAAAGAACAGCGATCTTCATTTCCAAGCCAACTCTGACGCCGTTATTTGTTTAGTTATATGATATTATATTAAATTGTTTAATAACATAGAACATCCGTATTACTAACGTACTGTACCCAAAATCCGCAAATCTAGGGATTAATCAGTAGTTCTGGTAACACTGTCTCCGGTAACCGCCCACTCTGTCGACTAAAAGAAGAACTACGGTACATTATTCTTCATACGCTGCGCAGTAAACGACTATCAGCGCGCAGCGGCGCGGCTTCCAGCTAAACTAAATCTCGGACAGGTTGACTAGCGGCGACGGTATCGCCAGCTACATCTCGGACATGTTTCGTGCCACGTAATCGCCCATAAGGTTGCGCATCTTCTTATTTCTTCAATAAACAATAACAATAATCCATTTGGATTATAGTATCGTTCGAGTACTTCAATAAAAAAGAATCTATGATATTTTTGGCAATCTGTAGAGCAGGCTTCGCACTGTAACTGGAATTCTACCCAGACATTATTATCTCAATGAAGATCTTCACAAAATTAAGTTAAGTCACACATGAATATACAGGAGATGTGAACAGGAAGGCCAGTTTAAAAATGGCGTTATGTGACAGCCTGACCCTGATCACAAAATCAAATCTGGGTAGAGTCTGGTCTACCCTAGGTAATTTAAAGGAGACACTCTCAATCGCACCGCCTATCTTATTTAGGAACTTTGAATAAGAAGACTAGGGAAGGAGCATAAAGCCTAGTTCTCATGGGGCGGAAAATCGCGTTGCGAGCGCGAGTTTTTTTAAAATTGTCCCGCTGCGGGAAAATTTCAACTTTTGGCGGATCCGCAAAAAGTTAAACTATTTTTAACTTTTTAGCGAGTTTTTATAGTCTATCTTTGTCTAATCATGTTCTTTCTTCGTTTAATTTTTAACCTAACTTCAAATTGGGAGGAAAGCTGTTTGTTGATATTGTTTTGGTATTGTTGAAAATTGTTTTGGTAGTTTGAATTTTGATTTTGGAGTTGGGATTGCTTGCTCAGACCTTTTTAAGAAAATATCTCTGACCCACATTCTCCTTTTTTTATTCTATGTTTTTGTAAAGACTTTTTGTTTTTATGCCATTCACAAATTAATATTAATCCAACTATGTACTGCCTTCTCCATTGATAATAGTTATAATTGTTAGCAATATTAGTATCCATAATTACATACAATTTAAATTAATTAATATAATAATATACAAGTTACAAATATTTTTGTTTACTTAAAAAAACACACTTGTCTTGTCACTGTCCCTTTTCAAGTTCTGAAATAAAAAAAAATCACTAGAAAATAATCTGAAATACCCTAAATTTATCTAAAAATCCGCATCCGGAATCCTGCTTCATGTGAACCGGCCAATTTTACTTTCTTCAACAGAAAGCGATATTCAGCTCCCACAACGCGATTTTCCGCTCCATGAGAACTAGGCTTAACGCTATTCATGTATTCATGCATGGTGGGCGGAAAAAGCACTCTAGGGTGGGGATCCTTGACAGTTCTGTTTGACGATTCATTTGACACATTTGAATTTGATTTGAAATTTTGTGGATTTGTCAGACTTTACGGAGCTTATTTTATGTTATTTATTATTTATTCTACTACTGATAGTTGTATAAAGGTAGTAAATCTAAATGGAAATTGTGGCAGAACTTAAATTAACAGTGACACTATCGCGATTTATCGAAAAAGACTCTAAAATAGTTGGTTGTGTAGCGTGGTAGCGGTAGCGGTAGATTTCGGCAAAAATCGAGTGAAATAATGGAACAACTTTTCGCTAGTAAGTGACTATATAATATACATACGTGTAGTAAACCGATCATTTATGAAATTCACTTAAATTAACTAATTATATATTTTTTCTTGCATTTTTGCTTTTATTTATTACTTGTCAAAGATTAGATGTCAAAGAATTTAGATACGTTAATTTGACTTACCTGCTTCAGTAGCGTATCGGATGTTTGTGTTAATAAATACTTATTATAACTTATCTATTTTTATTAGAATTATATATTTTTATAACAATTTTAATAACTACCAACATTTATTCACAACGTAAAATAAAACAACAAATTATTGAGTCTACCCCACGTCTACCCTACATCATAGTTTTACATTTTTTAAATAAAATTAGAACGACACTGATAAACCGGAATTTAAGTCGGCCATATTTGAGGCACAACGCGGTGTACCTAAGATTTTTGATATGCTCCTTCCTTAGTCTTCTTATTCAAAGTTTAGGAAAGATCTATATATGTAAATTGAACTACTACATGGATAAAGATATTTTTATGTATTCAAGAGTTAAAAACGCGTTTTGGAGTTTGGGAAAATAAAAATAGATCATCATCATTCTCAGCTTATTCAAGCATTTCCAATTATGGTATAGCCGCCCTCATATGTTTAGATACTTTCTTTGTAGTTGGGCCCATTGTTGTCTATTGTCGGCTATGCGGGCCCCAGTTATCCCTGCTAATTTTCTATTATCATGGTCCCGTCTCAGGTTTGGTCTTCCACGTGGGTAGCATGCTGTAATTTATGTGGTCCATCTGTTTTCCGTCCTTCTTGCTAGGTGTCCTGCCCATTGCCACTTGACTGGGATTTGATTTTGTGGATGGCATCTATTACGTGGGTCTTTTATCGTATCCACTCTATTATTTACGGCCTTTCTTGGTTATTCCCAGCATATTTCATTTCATTGAGCCTTGTACGACTTGCAGTTTCCTTATAATGTCCGTTTTAAGAGTCCAGGTTTTGCATGCATAGGTCATGACTCGTAGTACACTACTGTCAGTACATTACTGCTAGTACTGGTAAATAAAAAGTAGGTATCGTGTAATAAATAAAACAAGTATACTTAAATACCAAGTATTAAAGCATGTTACTAAAAGTATCATATAAATTAGACGAGTAATAACCTAAAGCTAAATCGATTAATGAAAAAGGGCATTGAAATATGTCAGAACATTCTTCAAGTTGGTCTTCCACATAAGTATCTTCATTGTTAGCAGTCCCACTACCAATCTGAGAAGCCCAGTGGTACATTCGATGTTCATCTGGTTCGTTCCGCAGAATTCTTTCTTTAGGAAAACTAAAAACAAATTATTTTTAAAAAGTTTGCTAAAACTATATAAAACTAATAGTTTTAAAAGAAAAGTACAATTTTTGTATAATAAAAAACAGACCTTGGTGTCTGCATTTTCCGCGTAGTGTTAACTCACTTCAGTCTGTTACTAAAAAAAAATCACATGCTTTTTTTTAATATGGAAGTCTTTTGGCGATATAAATTTATTTATTACAATTTGTTTAGAAAACTCTACCTTAAGTTTTTAAGTTTAACTGCATTTTAATCAACTGAAACTAGAGTTTGGATTCGTGAAATCAATTGCCTGTTTAGGAACTCACCTAAATATTAAATTTAATATATGGTGTGCTAGACTACTTTCTTTAGGTTGGAATCTCCGCTCTGCTTCACACAGCGCCCTCAAAATGCAAGATCGTCCATTGTATCCCATGCTAAAGTAAAAAAAATATTTCGATTGGTTGCTGAATTGAAATGATAGGTAGCTTTGGTATGGTGTTGAGTCGTATAAAATTGACTACAGTAAGGTATAAACAATATTTTTTTCCATAGCGAGTTACGTTTTAAAAAATATTCAGAAATTAATATTTCAAGGAATTTATTACGAGTAGAAAAAATATTGTGCTGTGTTGGCGTTGGTTTCTATGTAATTTGACAAATAAATAAAGCTGTCTCTTTAGTTGTCAGTTTTGAGTCAATAATTTTTAATTCTCTTTCGTGTCGATTGCTGATTGAATTGGAGCCAGAAATGGCTCAAAACGAAATAAGTAAATTACCAACAGATATTCAGGCTGAGGCGACAAACGCCATATCCAAAGTACTTCTATTTAAATCCCGAAAAACTTATGAAAAGGAATACAAAAATTTTCAAAAATGCAAGCAATTAAAAAACATGCGAGAAGAAATAAAGTTAAAGTACTATTTTATCTACTATTTTTGATAGATATAAGGCAATTTTAACAGTTGCTATGGAAAAAAGTTAATTATTAATCATTTGCTGATTATGCTATACATAAAATGTTTTGGTATATTGTGGTAAACTAGTGTTTTATTTTACTGTTGCAACACTAAAGGTTCCAACCCCAACTGTATTGTACCGTATGATCGAAAAAAAAACGGCGTCCACTTGGCTTGGAAATGATGATCAATGACATTCTCCATACAATTTTACATATAAAATGACAGCGATCTTCATTTCATAGCCATTGCTGACGCCGTTTTTTTTTCGACCGTATTAATGTATACATGCTGTTGTATTAATGTATACATGCTATTGTATACATGTATTGTACCGTATGATCGAAAAAAAAGGCGTCCACTTGGCTTGGAAATGATGATCAATGACATTCTCCATACAATTTTACATATAAAATGACAGCGATCTTCATTTCATAGCCATTGCTGACGCCGTTTTTTTTTCGACCGTATTAATGTATACATGCTGTTTTAAATATCCAGCAGTAGATCATTTTATAATAATTGCAAATCGAGCTGTATTTAATAAAAAAATAATACTCCTAAAACTTTTAGTTTATATAATAAATCTTTAGATAATTTATATTATTTTCGATAATTAATTATACAAACAAGACATCTTGTGAAAATTATATTAAATGTTTTGAAAACCGTAATTAAGAAAAACTTCCAAAAAATAAAATGTCAATGTCGAAATAAGGTACCGTAAGAGACACTACATAATATACTATTGATGTGTCTTTAAATTCTGTTACGATAATTAAAAATAATAGATACTTACGACGTAATAATATCTTCTAGCTTGACATATAAATCCCTTCGATTTCTTCTTTTTTGTAGCACCTTGTTGGCGGTAAATAAAGGAATAGTATCATTAGGCAAATCGTAAACTAGACCCCAATTTATCCCTTCGCTGAAAATAGCAGCGCCATCGGTAATGCCCATTTGGGAAGTAAGACAAACCACAGCCTACAATGTGATTATTTTCTGCATATAGGTACATATTTATACGGTGAGTGAATGACAGTAAAAGGACTTTAATATTTACTTCTAAAACTATTTTATTACATTTTTATAATTCTCGAAAGATGATATGATAAACTTTAAGCTTTATTTCTCTCTCGCTTCAGAATCTAAAAATTAGTGGAATAAATTAATGGTTTCAATTATACTTTATACTAAGAGTTTACGATCATTTACAATGTCTAAAAAACAGTTAAAATTAATATCCTAGAAATAGATTGCGGTAGTCAATTATTGTGTTCATAGAGAAAGCTTAATAATTAGCTTATAAAACAATAAACTTTTTATTTCTGGACATCTCTTGGTGGATTATAGGATAACAAACAAAACCCAAAATAATACTATAATTAGTGGAAAAAGTTAAGGGTTTGTTAACTTTTCCTACTAATTGAGAATTAAGATTCATTCAGAACCTCGTAATTAGTGTAATAAATTAGTGGTTTCAATTACACTTTACACATTTTAGTTTACGATCATTTACAATGTCTAAAAAACATAATTAAAATTAATAGAATATCCTAGCCACAACTTGCGGTAATCAGTTGTATCTTGTATCGACTAATATTAGTACGAGAGCTAGCAACGTCGGAAAAACAAGTATTTTAAGACGTCTGACTCTTTGATATATCTTCTACTATGCCCTCTAGAACAGCATGCGGCCCGTCTGGCTGCCGGTAAACGTTGCGTTCCCTACTGCGCATTGAAAGAAGATCTTATATTTTTCTTAGTCCTTCCTAAATTCTAGTATTGAATATAAATCGAACATGTCTCCATAGCGCAGTGCGTAGAGTTTCCGACTACGAACCGATGATTCAGAGTTCGAATCCGGGTCAGGGCAAAGACTTTTTTATTTTATTTGCGTTTATATTCTGAAAGTAAAGTATTAAATATTTGTTTTTTTTTAATTATCAGAATTATTTAATACTTTACTATCAGAATATAAACGAAAATAAAAAAAAAGTCTTTGCCCTGACCCGGATTCGAACTCTCAATCATCGGTTCGTGGTCGGAAACTCCACGCACTGCGCTATAGAGACATGTTCGATTTATATTCAATACCAGAATTTATAGGATTAAATTAATAAAAAAATGGGATCTTCTTCCGATGCGCAGTAGTGAACGCAACGGGTACCGACAGCCAGACGGGCCGCATGCTGTTCCAGAGAGCATAGTAAAAGATATATCAAAGAGCCAGACGTCTTAAAATACTTTCTCGAAAACGTTGCTAGCTCTTAGACTAATTTAGCTTATAAAACAATACATTTTTGATTTCTAACCACATGTTTCTCTTGACAGTTGATAATCAAAGGCCAAAATAACATTTCTCGCCAATTTTGAAGTATAATTAGTGGAAAAGTTGAAAGTTTATTAACTTTTTCCACTAATTGAAAATTTCTACCACTAATTTTGACGTTCTGAATGCTTACATTCAAATTAGAAGAATAACCTTCTACGCTAATTGAAACTCCTAATTTATTCTACTATTTTCGAGGTTCTGAATGAAGCTTAAAGTATCATATCATCTGTTTCGGAAAATAAAAAAAAAAATGTAAAATAAAATAGTTTTAGGGAATATTAATGTAGACAAATTTAAATTATTTTTGAGTATACAGCAGCGATTTTATAATAAAGTCTCTTATTTTTAGTTTATTTTAGGTACTACTTTTTGTTAATATTATTATACACCTAAAACAATAGTATTTCGTAATGTAAAACTACTAGTCTCTGAGTGTAAAAAATTGTAATAATGATATTTGTTCAGAATGGGGAATACTTTTTACGTTTAGTAGAAATTGTAAAGTATATGGAGTTGGATTCTGCAGGGTTGTTCAAAATAAATTTATACATTTTTAATATTTCGATTTAAAAATTTTCTTAAAAAAATAATAAAAAAAATAAATCAAAAAAACCTTAACGGAATTGACGTCAAAACCGTTGAGAAAAAAATATACAGTCGTTTATTTAAAAAAGTACTATCCTGTCTAGAATTTACTATACATAATTAATTAAATCACCCTGTATATACCGGGTGCGTCTCAAAAGTGGCTCACCCCTATCAGTTTTTTATTTTTTCAAATAAAACGAGATTTGGTATGTTAGTACAGTACATCTGCTGGATCTGTGTCTACGAAAGGAATGCGGACAAAAAACATTTAAATAAACAGTTATTTATTTTATACGTCGACTTAACGAGTACGTCACCGCAAATCGATCCGCCCACTCATTTTATTGGTTACTTGCAAATTTGTCGAATTTTTATTGATGGGAGGCGTCGTCTATTTTTTACGAAAAACATCGAGAGAATATCGTTTCCCCTCTCACGGATACCCTGTAGCTACAGAACGAACAGACGTACTGTATATGACATAATTTAGGATTGATTGACGTATTCATTTGTTTTTGGTCACTTCCTGTTTCACCGAAAATAACTACAACTTTTTATTTTTAAATGACACCGTCGGTATTTTTTTTACTTGATTCGATAGAAAATGACACTCTGAATAGAATGCAGTGTCTCATCTCAACTGTTGACATTTTCGCTTATAAAAAAATCGCATTTTAAATTTCAATCTAGAGTGCCATGGCTGTGTTAAAAACACTATTTTTTAATCAAGGAGCATTGAAAAAATAGATTTGATCGTCTAATGTTTTTCGTGTCTTGTCCTGGCCGGTTAAAAGATGCCCAAAATCGTATTTTTAATCATCTCTTATTTTTTTCAAATGGAACAAGAGGGGTCATTAGCATATTTGGAAAAATATTTTTTTTACGAATAATTTGGTACCACACACTTGAACCGCATGTTACAATTTCAAATAAACCATATGAGAAAATGTCAAAAGTTGACATAGAATATGTCATTCTATTCTATGTCATTTTCTATCAAATAAAGCAAAAATACTGAGGGTGCCATTTAAAATCAAAAGTTGTAGTAATTTCCGGTGAAACAGGAAGTGACCAAAAACAATTGAATACATCGGTCAATTCTAATTTAAGTCATATACTAACATACCAAATCTCGTTTTTTAATGTGAAAAAAATAGAAACGTTTTAGGTGAGCCTTTTTTGAAACGCACCCGGTATACTTTAAAAAGTTGAATATAATTGATTGTATATTTTTTAAAAAATATGGGAGTAATAATGTTAAATAGAAAACCTAATCTAGAAATATTTCGGTAGCTTGGGTTATCTCTACAGAAAATGTTATACTTTTTTAATAAAAGGATTCAATTATCGGATATTTATAAAGCTGTACTATGAACAATTAGTGTTTGCAAGTTATGCATAAATATTGTATACAATCGAATCAATAACAAGTTGATCAAAACTTTTGCTTACACTGTACGATGCTCCATCTGGAAAAGCGATATATCTTTTCTTCCTTAACAATGTTTTACTATTAACTTTACTATGCACACCCTGTAGAACACAAAATATGAACAAAACTACGAAAAGAACACAGCCTCTTACGGCCATTTTAGTTAAAAATACAAAACTGTTCACATAAAGCGAATCTCCAAATCATTTTAACTTGTAATCAATATAAAAAGACGTGTTAAATGATCTTAAAAAGATCGCAAAGTAGATGTTATAAAAAGTGCATTTTAGGTCATCGAAATTTTCCACTTTCTATTCCTCCGTTTCAGATAATATTGTTCTCATTATTCACTGGAAATAGTTACTGTACTAACTGTTAGACATTTTGTTTGAACTAGTTGTTCTAATTTTTTGATTCAACATCCCCAGTTGGAATCCGTTAAGCAAATACATGCTAACATTTGGAGCTGACGAGATTACTATGTCATGTGTTTTTATCAGAATGGTTAAACGAAATGAAGCAAGGATTGTATTTTTTAGTGGTTCTAGCTTTAGTTAATGACGTTTTGAGTCAAAATAATGAAGAGAGTAAATTTCCCGTTGTTAAAAGCAGACAAAAACGGTATGTCGCTTTTCCCGAGGGTTCCACTTTTATTGTAAGTTTAGCAATTTTTTTATTAGATTGAAGAAGTTAAAAAATGTATTTACAGTCATTCAATATACAGGGTGATTTAAACTTCATGACATGGGTGAATACCCGGAAAGTAGTAAATGAAGATTCAAAATTGGCAGTATTAATAGAGTACTAGTTAAGGTATATTTTTTTGTATATAGAATAATAATAAATTTCGGTTTTTAAAAACACTAGTAACTATGACGTCATCAAAACAATTTGTATATACAGGGTCCGGCAATAGCGCGTCGGGCATCTGTAGCTCCTAGAATAAACAACTTGAGAATTTTGTTTAAGTGCAAACCTAAACTATATACCAGGATGTATTTCAGGAAAATATTTTAACTTCTATAGGGTGGCTCAAAAAAGTGTGAGTGGACCTGGATGATTTTTTTTAAATGGAACACCCTGTATATTATTGCATCTTTGGCTTCGTTTCCGATCACTTTACATAACCCTAAGATATGAATAAATACATTTTGATTGAGATATTAAAAAATAAATCAAAAATATAGTTTTTTCAGCCCTTCTTAAAAAAATTATAAAAAATACAAGAACTGTTCTGCAATCAAAACTATATTAGGTATTTACTTTAGATGGTCTGTACTTACTTTGCTATAAATATGAAAATCGTAGATTATACAGGATGTTCAAAATTGTACGCCAAACTTTCTAAAATATAAATTAATTTTTCTTCGTTTTTTTTAAACGGAATACCCTATATATTATTTTTTCAATAGACGGAGAATTAAAAAATGAACATTTTTTGTATTTAGAATATTTCAGAATTTTTAACGGTTTCGCAGATATTTGCGGTTCTATATTTCATATGGCATTTTTCACAGTAAATTTTTATCAAAGCCACCCAATAATTTTTCTCTCGTATTTTACCATTGAAAGCGCCATATGAAATAATACTGCGTGTATCTGCGAAACCGTTAAAAAATTTGAAATACTCTAAATACAAAAAATGTTCATTTTTAAACTCTCGATCTAATAAAAAAATAATATATACAGGGTGTTCCATTTAAAAAAAACAAAGAAAACATATTTTATATTTTAGAAAGTTTGGCGTAGAATATTGAACATCCTGTATGATTTACGATTACCATATTTATAGCAATGTAAGAACAAATCATCTAAAGTAAATACCTAATATCGTTTTGATTTCAGAACAGTCCTTGTATTTTTAATAAATTTTTTAAAATGGGTTGAAAAATATATATTTTTGATTTATTTTTTAATATCTCTGAAACTATCGAAATAGATTTATTCATATCTTAGACTTATGTAAAGTGATCTGAAAGGAAGCCAAAAATGCAATAATATACAGGGTGTTCCATTTAAAAAAAAGCATCCAGGTCCACTCACATTTTTTTGAGCCACCCTATAGAAGTTAAAATAGTTTCCTGAAATACATCCTGGTACATACTTTAGGTTTGCACTTAAACAAAATTCTCAAGTTTTTTATTCTAGGAGCTACAGATGCCCGACGCACTATTGCCGGACCCTGTATATACAAATTGTTTTGATGACGTCATAGTTACTATTTTTAAGACTCACCATTATTTAAGACTCACCCTGTACAATAATTGTTTAAAAATGGAATGTTTCCAATGGAATGGAATGAAATGGAATATTATGACACAAAATTGGAATTTTTGCAGAAAAAATTCTTTTAGTGACATCACATTAGCCATTTATAAAATTGAAGGTATAATATATACAAAAAAAAATATGCCCTGACCAGTCCATTTTACAAAATAAATTTATATACCGGGTGCGTCCCAAAAGTGGCTCACCCCTATAGCTTTTTTATTTTTTTAGATAAAAAAACGAGATTTGGTATGTTAGTACATGCCATAAATTAGGATTGATTGACGTATTCAATTGTTTTTGGTCACTTCCTCTTTCACCGGAAATGACTACAACTTTTGATTTTTAATGACACCCTCGGTATTTTTTACTTTACTCGATAAAAAATGACACTCTGAATAGAATGACTTTATCATATGTCAACTATTAACATTTAAACTTAAAAAATCGTATTTTAAATTTCAATCTAGAGTGTGAACCATGGCTGTGTTGAAAACTCTAATTTTTAATCAAGGGGCCTTGGAAACATAGTTTTGATCGTCTAATGTTTTTCGTGTCTTGTCCTGGCCGGTTAAAAGATGCCCAAATCATATTTTTAATCATATCTCAATTTTTTCAAAAAGAACAAGGATGGCTCATTAACATATTTGGAAAAAGCATTTTTTACGAATAATTTGGTACCACACACTTGGTATTTCAAGTCAAATTGTCGTTATGAACCATATGTTACAATTTGAAACAAACCATATGAGAAAATGTCAAAAGTTGACATATATGTCATTCTATTCAAAGTTTTATTTTCCATCGAATAAAGTAGGCTAATACCGAGGGTGTCATTTAAAAATCAAAAGTTGTAGTAATTTCTGGTGAAACAGGAAGTGACCAAAAACAATTGATTGCGTCAATCAATCCTAATTTATGTCATATACTAACATACCAAATCTCGTTTTTTTATCTGAAAAAATAAAAAAAATTATAGGGGTGAGTCCCTTTTGAGACGGACCCGGTATTCAATAACTTTATCAAAATGATAACAACTATATCAAAAAATGTTGCAAATGATTTTTTCAATTTTTCAGGCTACCCTCTGTTTCTTTACGAACTTAGTTATTCCTGTAGGGCTGTTTTATGAGGGTGTCAATTGGGGTATTTCTTACGATCTGCCTAATGCCACCACAGTCAAGGAAGTGTTTAATTCAAATAAATATGCTTTGAAAAGACGACAAAGAAGAGATTTGTACAACAGATTTGAAACAGTCTTAGAAAAGTAAGAATAACACGTGTTCTTTTAGGTTTGAGATTTGTGTTGCTAAATATGGTTTTTAATTTATGTATCCAACAATTAAAGGGGCATTGTCAGACAATGTTTTCGGATTTTTAATTATTGTATTCTTTATTTTAATTTTTTAGCAATATCTAGGTTGTAATTAAGAAATATGATAAAGAACATTTTTTTTCAATATAAAAGAAAATACTTATTGGGAAAACTAAAATATATTTTCAAATAGTTTTACTCATTATTATCTTACAGATATACAGGGTAAGCGGAAGCTCCAAGGAGAATGACAGTATTAAAATGAAATTTTGTGAGCATATCTAGGTTAAATTAGAGCATTTTTTAAAAGGATAGTTCTACAGGTTGCCTCCAAAAAAAGTTACGCATCAATCTTGTTTTTTATAATGGAACACCCTATATATTAATAGATTTTCGAATTCTAGGAGAAAAATAAAGGGGAGTTTCATTAGAGAAGTATATGACTAAAATGTAAACTAACTGTTCTTGACATATTTAAAATTTTCTAAAAATAAAGAACAATTTTTAAATTTCAATAAAAACTACCTAAATTGGAATTTACCCCGTATAGCCCAATATGTAGTAAAAATAACTATTATACTTTAAATCAATCAATTGACCCATTATTAATTTTGTCATACCCTGTATAACTTGCCTATAGTATGCATTCAAAAAAGAAAGCTTAATTTAAAAATAACTTAAATAAGGCTTAACTCAGTCACCAGAAGAAGCTGTAGTACAGCGAATATTGTAGTGTTTTTGAAAATATAGTGTTAAAATAAATAAGACGATTGTTGATTAAAAAAATGTATATTATTGTTGTTCTCAAGGGTATAAATTTACAATATTAATTATGATGTAACTTATTCTTACTAGTGGTGGATGGTATTATTTGTAATGTCTAAGAAATTTGTTTTAGAATGGGATATACAGGAAAGCAGTGTATATATAAAGCGTTGTGTGAAGCTCCAAGAAAACTTAATAAGAAAAACAATACTTTAGGAAAAGAAATACTCAACTTATTTTTTAAGTAAGTGGTTTAAACTGAAAATAAAACCATACTTTGGTGTAATAGTGTGCAAGTGTGCTAGAGGTGTAATAGTGTACAAGTGTAATAGAGTATTGTTAATTTTTTAGATACCCCTTAAAAAGACTTTCTCACCAAGAACCAGACGATCACAGAAAATATCACTGGGCAAGAAGATATAGTTTAGAGAATACTCACCTAGACTGCATGGATCTATTTCCTGACTGTAGTATTTCCATTGTAGATATAATGACAGGGATAAAATAAAAAATTAAAATAAAAAAATAATAATAAAACCAGTAATAATTTTGTTAAAAAATATAACGAATGTGATAATTATATAATATGTACGGAACGCACAAAAATATTTCAGATACATCACTCTACTTAAAGTATAACTGCGTTTATACCGTACAATAAAAAAAAACGGCGTCGAGTTGGCTTGGAAATGACGATCGATTACATTTCCCATATAATTTTACATATAAAATGACAGCGATCTTCATTTCGTAGCCATCGCTGACGCCGTTTTTATTTGATCGTACGGTAGTATAATTAAAAGAATCTAAAATATTTTTTTTTCTAGTAGAATTTATTTTATATTATTTATAAAATTTCTGTCAAATTAGAGGCTATTTTTGTGTCAAATTATGTCAAATAATAAGTGTCTGCATTTTGGTTTGTGTCATTGCCTTTTATACTTATACTAGTTAAAGCCTGGCGCAACCGCCACGACATCAGAAAAAATACCTTTTATTTTTTTTCAATTTAATGAAAAACAAAAATCCGGCGACGAAAGTTTTTAGAAGAGCCAATTAGCTATCTTTTAGTAAAAAAAGCAACTTTCTAGAGCAAGTCGTTACTTCAGTAGAGACGGCACAGATAAACATTAGCATTTTATATATTATGTAGATTATTGCCAGTTTATTACCTGTGATATAACCCATCATACATAACAGTCTATAACCCATTATCTTTGAGGATTTTTCTGTTGCAGGGGGGACAGGGTATTTCCCATTCTCCTCACAACAGATGTTCTTCGTCCGAGGGTACACACTCTTCCACGGTTGTAGTTTGGCTCTCCGTGCCTTTCACAGTCGAGGAGCTTGCCTCCGGCTGAGGTACCCGTGAGGTGGAAGCTGTAGGATCTGTCTCCATTTTCTCTGCCTCTTTAATTGGTTGTAAACCAACCTTTAGACCTGATACCAGTGTTGTCCCGAATCTATAATAGAGCATATATCCCTCCTTTTCCATAGCCTCCTTGGATTTGAGGTCAGTTCCTATTGTGAGGACCTCACCATGACCCACCTCCCTCGAGTTGATGACTTGCCAACTCAATGTCTTTACATTGGAGTTCTGAGCCTGGCTGAAGCTCAACAGGTAGGGGGTGTCTTTCCCCTTGCTCCTCCATTTGCCGAAGTTCCCCGAATACAATTCGGACTACCCTGTATATTAACAACTACATGAGTAATTGCATGTGACACCTCGCAACTAAAACAAACATTAAAAACTAAAATATCTGTTATATTTTAGCGCCTATATTCCTAAAAGAACTACAATTAACCGGTTATAAATATTACAATATTTACATAAAATAAGTGTAAAAATTACATATTTACGCTTAACGTCGGATGTATTAAAAATATCCTACGATATTGCAAAAGAAAAAGAAATAAATAGGTACTAAAAAAATATTTTGTATTATATTATTACATTCAATAACCCCTTAACACATACTGATGTGCACATACTCATAGCTTCAACAAACTGTATATAGTCCATTAATAACAGGAACAAATAACAAATGTTTACTTTTCTTCGTCTTTATCGAGGTACAGTGTAAGAAATTTCAATAGTACTGCGTATTTTCAATTGTTCCAGATATCTTTGTATAGGATATAATCAAGTTTCTGGTTTCATATACATGAAGGATTCTTAGTATTTGTAGGTATTCCCCCTCCTAACTGCCTTCTCTGTTGAGGTTGGCGATTAATATGGCATATGACTCTCTGTCCAGAGCTTGGTGAATAAGGGTGTTTTCGTTGGTGTGGGTCCAATCTCTTATGTTACGTAGCCATGATTTCTTTTTTCCTACCTCGTTTTCCATCGATTTTTCATTCTATTATGTATTCTTCATATTCTGAGTGCCGCATTATGTGCCTAAGGTAGTCTTGTTGATTTTAATTGTTCCTGTTAGGTGTGCACGAGTTTTCATTCTGTTTAAAACTTCACAATTTGTTGTTCTGGAGGTCCAACTTATCCTGAGCATCCGATGGTACATCCACATTTCAAATGCATTATGGCGTTTGATGTCTTCTTGTTTTAGCGTCCATATTTCGCATCCACATTGAAGCAAAATATATAACATTTTAATGTTTTTCGCCTCGTTGGTGTTGCTATTCTTGGATTGCATAAGAACTTCCGCATGTTGAGGAAACCAGCCCTAGCTATTTCAATCCTTCTTCTGATTTACTTAGAGTGCTCTAGTTGGCTGTTTAATTCCCTGCCCAAGTAAATATATCTCTGCGTGGTCTCGAGATGGACGCCATTTATTATTATGTCGGTGTTTTCATTGTCTTAGTAGGTATTACAGCTCCACATATGTATACACCAACGTTACTTTGAATGTGGTAGACAATGATTCAGTATGAAAACTTAAAAAAAGTGAAATAAAATTACTTATTTTGCTTACACAACGTTTCGGTCAAAAGTATCACCACTGAATATATAGTTTGCGTATATTTCTGTGGTATTAGTAACTGTTATCAAGTGTGAAATAAACTAAATCCTAAAACTACTGAGCTTATAATATACTAGAGCCGAGCATTCACCCTTAAATTAGTTTGGTTTCAGTCAAGCATGAGGTTTTCCACTAAGATGCATAGGGACGTTTTATGAGTGCAACCATAGGACGTTTTATGAGTACAACCATATTGTTGAAATTTCCATGCTTAGATTTGCTAAAGATTTTATTATTGTTAGAAATAAATACGACCTTTTTAAATTTGTGCTTTTTCCAATGGGGTTCTTTGAGGGCAAACCGGACTTCCAACCATTTTAAGTTGTGGTGCTTGTACCACACATGACCTACAATGCCCGACTTTATTGTTTTACCTCTTTGCGTATGTGTTTTATGGTCGACAATTAGTACATGTAGATGGACGTTTTGTCTCTCCAATATACGACTCACTGCACTCGCAAGGTACCTTGGTGGATGCACTCTTTTTCTTGGTTTGGTGATTCCGGTTGTGTTTTTGTTAAGACACTTCTTAAAGTAGTTCCAGACTTAAAAACAGTTTTAATTTTATACTGCTTAGCTATTCGCCTGATCTTCTACGATGGTCCTTTCACATATGGAATCGTCAAGAGAGAGAACATCTAGAAACAGTATCGGTAGACAGAAGTTTTTCTCTTTCTCAATCGTGAATGTGATTGAGTTACTTCGTGAATTAAGATGATTGAGAAAGGAATCCGGCTGCGTCTATCGGTTCCATTCCAGATTATTAAGGTATCATCAACATATATCGAAGCCAAAGTTTGTCAGTGATAGGTACTTCTGACTGAAACGTTGTGTAAGTAAAACGAATAAAGACAATGGAAGTCCGAAATTCGTTTAGGTTTAATATTATGTATACCTACACTTCGAAAACTCGCAACAATTTATTATACAGGGTGTTTCAAAGAACATGTGCCAACTCTCGTGGGGAAATTCCTCAAGTGAAGATAAGACTTATTTTCCATATCAACATAGGTCCGCTTCAGCTATGTTTCATAGCTACAGGGTGTTAAAGAGTGTTAAAGTAAAAGGCTGTTAAGTAGGCGTTTTTTTTCATGAGCTTTTCTGTGACTGGAAAGCCCGATACGTGATGCTATTGTTATTATCTCTTTTCCGCACTCGGGACATTCAAAAATCCCATTGCTTTGTTGCCTCTTTACTTTTTGGTTGTAGCTGTTAACTGTGTTTACAATTCTTCTCCATTGCGTTCTATTGTTCGTTGCTTCTTCCCACTGATTCTGCAAGCTTATCCCCTTTAAGTTTTCGTGAACAAGATCCTTACCTTTTACCGTATATGTACCTTTTGAGTTGTCTACCCGGTTATCTCTCTTACTGTCTACAAGCTCACCGTAAAGAAGATATTTTGATAGGCGGTTTTCTTGCATTCTGCATACGTGACCAGCGCATCTTAAGCGGATTTTGTAATAATTATAACTTCAACGCTCTTGCACCTTGCAGCTAGATTTTTCAAGGACTGATACGGTTATAACCTAACTACGTCCATGTTAACGACATTCCTAGCATCAATAAAATCAATATTTTTCTTCAGACCACGTGAGAATTTTTCTTACTGCATAGAAAAAAAAAATAGAACTAACATATTTATTTTTTTAATTTGCTCCACTGTTGTGTTACGATTAAAAATTCAATCGCCTGTTCCAGCTTTACCATTCTCCAAATAGCGTAATATTTTATCTATCAATTAACGTTAGGTAATAGTCGTCATTGTTCAACATGCCCAGTGTTAGGTTGCATCTCAATTCTTTGCCTAATAATCTACGACAATGTTATGCCAAATTATTAGATCGGTGGTATTTTCTACCCTATTCATTTCCGTTGTTTCACCTCATTCCAATCAGAAACTAAACAGACAAAAGAGAACGCTGGTGTTTGGAGACCTTACAGTTTTACAGGTTGGTTCAAATTTCTATAACTTCAAATCATACAGTATGAAATACAATTCTTAAAATAACTTAAACACATAATATGCAGATTTTTTTGAACTGTTAATATTATTTTACGTAACATATCAAAAAATAAAAAGCATACTACGCACGAATGGAAAAGATGGGCAAATGATTTATTGGTGCGTAATATGGTTTTGCAACGCGAATTGTGTACCGTACTTTACCTACAACAGCTCTTTACACTAGAAAATCAACATTTTAAATTTTATTAGGGAACGTTAAGGTTTGTTTTTATTTCACAATTACTAATATTATTCAATTACGAATATACCGGTGCGTCTCAAGAGTGGCTCACTCCCCTATAACTTTGTTATTTTTTTTTGGGTTGAGATTTTTGGGGGGAGATTTGGTATGTTAATATATGACGTAAATTAGGATTGATTGACGTATTCAATTGTTTTTGGCCACTTCCTGTTTCACCGGAAATAACTACAACTTTTGATTTTTAAATGATACCCTCGGTATTTTTTTTTTTACTTTATTCAATAGAAAATGACACTCTGAATAGAATGACATGTCATATGTCAACTTTTGACATTTTCGCATATGGTTTATTTGAAATTGTAACATGCGGTCCATAACGACAATTTGACTCGAAATACCAAGTGTATAGTAAAAAATGTTTTTTCCAAATATGCTAATGAGCTACTCTTGTTCCATTTGAAAAATTTGAGATATGCTTAAAGAACGATTTAGGCATCTTTAAAGGTTGATTCTCACTATACCTTCCGTTTTCATTCCGTATCCATTCCATATCCGTTCCGTATTTTTGATTGTATTCACGCTATACATATGCTTCCGTTCCGTATCAGTTCTATACTTTTTATTGTTCAATTTATATCATTACTAAAGCTTTATTTTAAAAATTTGTATCATTTGAAAAAGTTAATAGGAAGAATTAAGAGGTAAAAGAATAAATATATATCAGCTAAATGTTTACAGAGCTGGTACCAATCAAAGAACTTGACAACGCGGTTTCCTATACGCTTCAGTCCAGGATATGGAACGGAAGGGAAACCGTACGGATAGTATGCATTGTCCTATTCATTTACATGATATAATATTTTTTGTAAACGGAAGGTAGGTAATTGATACGGAAGGTATATATAGTGAGAATCAACCTTTAACCGGTCAGGACAAGACACGAAAAACATTAGACGATCAAATCTATTTTTTCAAGGCTCCTGATTAAAAATTAGTATTTTTAACACAGCCATGGCACTCTAGATTAAAACTTAAAATATTATTATTTTAAGCAAGAATGTCAAAAGTTGACATATGATATGTCATTCTATTCAGAATATCATCATCACCGATGGTGCCATTTAAAAATCAAAAGTTGTAGTCATTTTCGGCGAAACAGGAAATGACCGAAAACAACTGAATACGTAAATCCATCATAATTTATGTCCTATACTAAACTAATATACCAAATCTCGTTTTTTTATTTGAAAAAATAAAAAAACGAGCCACTTTTGAGACGCACCCGGTATACAAAACAATAATTATCGTATTTTAATATCATTAGTTATAAACAACACACTATCATGGGACACCTATACTTTCCTTATACTATGCCTATACTTCCAATTAAAAGCTATCCATAAACTAACGATTTTAAACTTTAAAAATGTTTTTGGAATAGAAATTTTATGTTAAAACCGCTAAAACACAAATGATTTATTGAAGTCAAATTAATACACAAGAACATTATGTGCCATACTATGACATTTTGTAATTATTATTTTTATTAAATACTAGCAAAATAAAACACTAATTTACCAAATACACTAAAACACTTTACTTTTGTACTGTTAGCATTTGCTGAAAATAGCGAAAAGCGCGTCCAGTGCAAAAGTAAAGTTTTTGGTGTATTGTGGTGAATTAGTGTTTTATTTTGCTGTTTAACACCAAAGGTTCCAACCCTCAAGTGAAATATTAAATACTATTTAATATATTGGGTGAAAAAAGAATAATTTTTTTAACCCCAGTATATTCTACCTTTAAATAATCGAATAATTTTAACATAGTTGATTTTAGGGTATGCTATCCCGGTTCCGGACTTGCTTGTGCCCTCCACGTCATTGGGATTTTTCGTGCGGGGAGTTTATGGTGTTCCTTACAATGCCAGCGACTTCACAAATCCAGAAATTCAGGAAGTTACACGAAATTTACCGTCATTGACACGATGGGATTTATACAAAGTGTTTGAGAAGGATTCCGAAGTGTAAGTTTGACTTTTTTAAACATTTTAAATTAATATTTGCAGATTGATTACGTTAGAATTAATTAAAAACTATTTACTTTTAAGATATAGATACATCTATACTAATATATAAAATCCTTAAGTGACTGACATACTGATTAATCACGATCCTGCTCAAACCACTCAACGTAAGAAGCTCAATTTTGGCATACAGGTTGATTCTACGGTGTAGAGGTTCGATAAGAAGGGATTTTTCGAAACTCCACTTCCAAGAGGGTGAAATCACCCCTCAAATATTACAATATTTTTTATTTAAAAAACGGTCAAGTTTCCGAAAAAACGCTTAAACACGTATATTTTATTTTGTTTTTTTACATATTTTAAGATTTTTTAAAAATGTATACAGGGTGTTTCGAAAAATCTGGTCATTGAATAATCACGATCCTGTTTAAAGCGCTTGACGTAAAAAGCTGATTTTTGGAAAACAGATTGACTTTAGGGTGTAGGGGTTTGATAAGAAGGGATTTTTCGAAACTCGAATTATAAGGGGGTGAAACTATCCCTAAATATTAAAATATTTTTTGTTTAAAAACCGGTGAGTTTTTCGGAAAAACTCTTAAACACGTATATTTTATTTTGTTGTTTTACATATATTTTAAGATTTTTTATAAATTTTTACAGGGTGTTTCATAAAATATGACCTTTGAGTAATCACGATTCTGCTTAAACTGCTTGAGGTTTAAAGCTGATTTTTGGTAAACGGATTAACTGTGGGGTATAGAGGTTCGATAAGGAGAGGTTTCTCGAATCTCAAATTCCAAGAGGGTGAAAACGCCCCTCAAATATTACAATATTTGTTATTTAAAAAACGGTTAGTCTTTCGAGAAAACGCTTGGACAAGCATAGTTTATTTGGTTTTTTACATATTTTGAAATTTTTTAAAAAATTATACAGGGTGTTCCAAAAAGTTGGGTAATTTCTTAACCACGATTCTGCTTAAACTGCTTGACGTAAAAAGCTTATTTTCGGCAAACGGATTTTTCGAAAGTCAAATTCCAACGAGATGAAACTACCTCTCAAATATTACAGTTATATAATAATATCGCTACGTTGTTTTTTCTCATGCTGACATAAATGTGAGAAAATTTTATCCAGTTTGTACGTTAATGGAAATTCTTGCCTTGCTTTATCATCACCATTACAAATGATTAATTCGACGCGAACGAAGTCGTTGCTACACGCTAGTATAAATATAAAGACTGGTTCACCGTTACGTCATCAATATATGTCAAATATGAGATTTAGGCTGTATCTGAGATCAGTTCATATGTTGTTTCAATTTTAAGTACGTTTCTATAATATTGATTGAGCGAGTTCTCTTTTAAAAAATAAAATTGATTAAAAAAAACGTTCTTTCCAAAAAAACACAGCAATGCTTGAAATTTTTAAAACTTTTTTGATGACATCTTGGTGAACATCCCAGGGCGCAACTTTGCTCCAATTTAACCATCCTATATCTATTAGTGTTTCCGAGATACTAATGTTCGTACCCCGAATTTGTAGCACCCTGTATATACTCTTCTATATGTTACTTATACTCTTCTATATAATCTTCCATTTTTTTGGCTAATTTTCCAGGTTCTAAGATTTATAAGCTAGTTTCTGCAAAATATCAGAGGTCAAAGGCCTCATGACATAGAGCCTGTTTACATGAGTAATTGCGATATTTTTTGCGCTGCTAATGGATAACAAATCAGCTTATTTTATACAAGAAAATCCAGGGTCCGGATGGAATATTTTTGCGTATTTTTTGAGATGGTATGATTCTCCCTGATACTACATTGTGGGTTATATATTTGGTTATTCCCAGTACTACTCTAGTACCAGCTCTGGACCAAGTTTCTACACTTCTGTAACCTGTAAAATTAGTCATCTTAGTAGTGTTCTATGGGATGCACATTCTCGGATTATCTATGTTCCACATGGTCCTTTTGAATTCGAATGTAGTGTTCAGATTAAGATGTGTATCAATAATAGCAATAAAAACAGTAAAATTTTTTCGACTATATAATCACAGTAAATTTAGTATTAATAACCAATTTATTTGTGTTAATATAACTAGTTTTAATGTTATTTTTTTTGTTACTTAGGAAAGGCCATGGTGGTCGAGTCTGCATATTGAGAGCAATATGCGAAGCTGCAGAAGCACCCATAGATAAATATCACGGTTTTTTTGAAGAAGTTTTACATTTTATATTTACGTGAGTATAATGTTAACATTATTGTACTTGGACATACTGTGCTTTAAAAATTTGAAATATTTTATACTAAATTAAGTCCGGAGTTGTTTTATAAGTTCACACCAATTAAATTTTTAGTCACGTGATTAAGTTAAAACAGAAATAAATTAATTATAAATATATAAACAGTTACTATTCACATCAACAAAACTCATCTTCTTAACAGCACTTAGGGACATAAAGGGCTATTACTACCGCATTCCAGTTCAAAATATCCTAATAAAGTTGCGATGAGTTTTTTTACGGCTATTAAGCTAACTTGTCCAATCCAATGTTCTAACTGATGATACACAGATGATTCACCTATGGAGAGAGTACCAAAAATATAAATATCTAGGCAGTTGGTTGACCGAAAACTTGGATCAATCATCAGAAATAAAAGCTCGAATAGAAATAGCCAGAGCATCCTTTGTAAAACTCAAAAAATGTCTCTGCAGTGGAGACATCAACTTAAAGCTTAAATTAAGAATGCCAAGGCGTTACATATTTGCCACTCTACTCTATGGTTCAGAGGTTGGACACTTAAAAAGGTCGAAATGGAGAAACTTGAGGTATTCGAAATATGGTGTTATCGGCGTATGCTGAGGATTGCATGGACTGACAAGGTTAAACATATGGAACTGCGGCGCAGAATTCGGAAGGACCTTAATGATGATTGACACCCTTAAAAAGAGAAAACTTGAGTACTTTTGACACATAATGAGAGGACCTAAATCTGCTGCAGAACATAATAGAAGGAAAGATAAAGGGCAGAAGGAGCCAAGGAAGAAGAAGAACATCATGGCTCAAGAATTTGAGAGAATGGTTTGGAATAACTTCAAACGAGTTATTCAGAGCAGCCGTTAACAAAGTTAGAATTGCCATGATGATTTCCAACCTCCATTAGGAGATGGAACCCGAAGAACAAGAAGCTATCTTGTACACTTCGCACTAAAAGAAGTTCTAAAAAGAACAATGTTCGACTGCAAGATCTGCTAGTAAACATTTTTTAGCTTAAAATATCACAACACAATTCATTTAAACCAAAAACTCGTAATACAAAACTGAAGTGTCAAAACGAATGACAATATCAGGAAAGAAATAAATAAATGTTGTAATTTGACATTTTTTACAGTAGAGGTACCACCTGAATTCCCTGCGCGAAATTTAAATTCCAGTCAGTCAGCCCTGTGCCGAATATTTGCATGGTTGACAACAATGAATTTAAAAATCGCGCTCTCGATTAAGTAACTAAAAGTTTAATTGGTATCGCTGATACATATTTTTTCTGTCATATAATTTTTTTTGTTGCATAATTTTTTTGGTATAGATAAATAATTCTTTTTCAATTCATGTCCTTGAGATAACATATACCAAAGCACAATTTCTTTTGCCAATAATAATTTACTTCTGATTTTGCACGAGGAAATTGAGAGACTTCATATACAAGAAAAAAAAAATGTTATAACCCATTAATTTTCCGTATTTTTAGGCCTACAAGTACAAACGAAGAACTGAGTCACCATACGGATAACGAGTATTATGCAGCACATCATTTAGGAAAAAACAACAAAGGAAAATGCAAACAGCTTTTTCCGAATTGTAAATTGACTCTGTTAGATTTATTTACGCAATTTTACGATAATATTAATAAATAAAATAAAAAGAAAACCATAATTTTCATTTTTTATCATTTTTATTGCGAAACTGTTAATATATTTGACAAAAGCGAACCTTTACAAGCAGGATACATTTTGTTACAGTTGTGTTCAGTATTGGCAGCATTATCGTATTTATCTTCATCTGGATAATTATCATGAGGTTTAGCCCTAGAAAACAATATTATATTGTTTTATTAAGCTTGATTTTCATGCATCCGTTGTCCGACGATACGATGACACGATATTAATTTTATTGGTTGAATTGAAAGAGTTTGGTTGGTTAGAAACGGTTAACCAATCGAAGTCTTTACAACCAACCAATAAAATTAATATCGTATCATATTATATTGTTTTATTAAGCTTGATTTTCATGCATCCGTTGTCCGACGATACGATGATACGATATTAATTTTATTGGTTGAATTGAAAGAGTTTGATTGGTTAGAAACGGTTAACCAATCGAAGTCTTTACAACCAACCAATAAAATTAATATCGTATCATCGTATCGTCGGATAACGGACGCATGAAAATCAAGCTTTAGGAGTAAAAATGACACTTTTTGTGGCGAAGCTATAGGTTTGACATACAGCCGAGGCACAAAAGTCATTTTTACTCCAAATAGAACATGCAAAAAATAGCATGTTTTCAAACGCCACAAATAATTTTTTAAACAATTTTAAACGTTCCAAATAATATAAAGAAATTAAAAGTCATTTATATATCGAGAAACTATGGTTACACTCGTTGAATTACTGACACATTATGTCAGTTTAATAATATATTTTCGTACTTTTTTTGCTTAGGGGTAAAAGTGCTTTACTTTTATGCCTAGACGTTAAAATGACTTTTTTAAATTGTCAATCATGTCGCAAAAATTAATACTTTTGTAACGTTTGAAAAAAAAAATTATTATAAAAATTAAATTGCCCAATTACCTAAAAATTACTTTTAATACTTCTTCAATAAAACTTCCTTTACTCTTTGGTGATTTCGTAATTTCGCAAATAGCTTTTAACAGACAAGTTTTTCCATCTAAGTTCAATCTAAAAATAATAGAGCATAATTATTGGAAGTTGTTAGTTTTTGAGTACAATATTTAAATATGTATTTAGAATTTTAATTAGAATAGTAGTATAAAGCTAGTTGGAGCTTCAAGTTGGAAAAGTCAATTCTGTTATAAGGTATACAGGGTGTCCCAGGCTGAGCGTGCATTAGAAGTTTTTAGAGAACTACAATATCTAGATCGGAGATTTTTTGCATATCATTGTTTTACAACGAGATCTATCAATTAAAAATATTTTTAATATGGCGGCACTTCCGGAAATACCGGAAGTTGACAGCAACTTTCTTATTTTAAATAGGTCCCCCATTTTTTATTACATACTTAAATTGTCTGTAAAATTTTATGAATTTTGATATTAAACACTTTATACCTAACATTAACCGTTTAAAAAAAAAATATTTAAAATTTTTGAACGAAAAAAACTGCCTGTCAAAAATATGGGTATAGCCTAAACGCCAAATTTAGTGATTACCACGGTCACTGTGGCATAAAAAGAAGACATGTGGCTAACTATTTCAAAAATGAAATTGTTTGAATGTCATATAATAATGACGGCAGCTGTCATGGAATTGAGCGATTAAAAAATTATCATAAATCATTTTTTTCTAATACCCCCTTTTTTATTTCACTAGTGAAAAGGCTTTTGAATTTGTTACTTTTTGACCACACATATTCCTATAACTAAAATAAATTGTTTTTTAGTTATTTAAGATTTAGTTTTAATATACGCTTTAAAATAAGAAAGTTGCTGTCAACTTCCGGTATTTCCGGAAGTACCGTCATATTGAAAATATTTTTAATCGATAGATCACGTTGTAAAACAATGATGTGCAAAAAATCTCCGATCTAGATAATGTGGTTCTCTAGAAACTTCTAATGCACGCTCAGCCTGGGACACCTTGTATATTATGTTTCAACTTACGCATATAAAAATGTTTCAAGTTTTTGGTATAAATCTCTTCTTGTTCTCCTGTGAATGTGGTGATAAATCGGATCAACGTATGAAGTAACTGGAGTCTTTTTTACATATCTAGAAAATATGAGTAAAGTTAAGTAGAGACTGTTCAGTCATCGTTCACCGTTACGTCATCATTATTTGTCAAATATGAGTTTTAAGGTGCCGTCTGAGATCAGTTCATATTGTTAAGAAAATTTTAAGTACGTTCCTATATTATTGATTGTGCGAGTTCCTTTTTTTGGGAATTTATTGATTTTATTGATTTTCTTAAACTCTTTATCAGTTATGATCCCTTTAATTATCATCCTTTGGACTGTCGAAATTCCTATTTCTAAAGCATCAGCAACTCGCTATATTATTTAAAAACGTTATCAATTTGTATTTTTGTATTGTACTTAGTTCATATATGACGTCCACGGCCAAGAGTGTTCTACCAGCGTCTCTTTCTCGAGAAAAATAATTTATAAGCTTAGCAATAAGTTCTTGTTGATTTTGGTTAAATCTCTAAGGCACTTTTTCAATAAAAAAATTGACTTTTCTTTTATAGCAACAATGGATTTTTAATTTTGACATTGATAGATGTCCGTCAATAAAGTTATAATCCCAAATCAAATGACATTGGCAATTACTAAAAGGAAATTTTGACATGGATCGATATCCGTTAATAAAATTATAACCCCAAATCAAATGACAGTGACAATTACTAAAAAGAATATGCAGTAATTTACGAAATGCCGTAATGACGTCACCAATCTCTTTCATCTGGTTGGCAAGTGATTGAGAGAGTTCGACAATTTGACAAATGACGTGACGTTGAACGATAGCTGAACTATACCAAGTAAGCTATACTATTGCACAATTTTCTTACGAAAACAGTCTTGTACTTTTTTGGTTTCATTTGGGTTTTACTAGAACTTATTTTGTGTCACCATTTATAAGGAAAGTAACCACTTAACTACAAATACTGGAATTTTCCAAAAAAGAAAGATTTACAAGTATCAGTATTGCTCTTTATACAGTAGGAGCCCACTTAGATTAGACAAATTGGTGGATACAATTCATACAGTTTTGAAAATGGACAATTTTGTACAGGGTGGGTCAAATTCGACGCTTTTAAATGGAAACACCCTTTTCTATAGGAGATAGACAAAAACTAATATCGGTGTCTGGAGCTCAATTTTTGTCAAAAACATGATGGTGAAAACAGCATATCGATATCTGTTACCGTTTCGGAGTTACGGGGTGTTTTTCAAAAATATGCATTTTTAACAAATCGCTGTAATTCTTTTGCTATAGAAAATTTTGTATTGTTATGAAAACATTTCCAAACCACCAAAAAACGTAGAATTTAATGGTTTAAGTATATTTTTTTTTAAAATTAATAATTTAAGAATTATCAATAGAAAATTTGATTTTTTATATGGCACACCCTTTATATTTTTAATTTATTGAAAAGAATTTAAAATTACCTTTCCAAAAATATAACACACTTGATATTTTGCTCGATTCCTCTTTGAGATATAGAGTATATAAAAATTTGCCGGCTTTAAATAAGTAGGCTTTGAACGGCACCGGCTGTAATGCAAAAAAATTCTAGCTGTGAGCATCAATTATAACGAAAATAATATTTGCTATGAGAGATGCAGAATTTTATAACAATTTAAAATATATTTAACCAACATCAACACATTTAAACTATATCTAATAACAATAAAAATAAATAGCAAACCAAGACATGAGATTTTGCTACAGGTGTTCAACAATATCGACCGTTTTCTGTAATGGACAGACGGGTCAGTTTTTGAACATTTCTCGCGGAATTCATTAACTCAGTGAGGGTGAAAGATACCCTCTCATAACTGCTAAATATTTCTAATTATTGTTTAGATTATATGGAAGAATAAGAAACCTTTATTCTTCCGCAAATATATCCATAGGATTAGATCCATGGGCACTAAGTCAGGCGGCCTCAACGGCCAACGGCTGGAATCTTGGTTAGCTATTCAATTATTCTTGAAATTGGCTGCAAAAATTTGCTGATAACTTCAGCGTTCAGAGGCGGTGCGTCGTCTTGCTGGAGAAAATATGTTTTCGAGTTCCATTAAGGGCATATCATCAATAAGGGGTCCAAAGCCTACTAGTTAAAAGTGGCGAACTTTTAAAAATTCTGTATTTCGAAGGGGATTATAACAAAATATCAAGTGTGCTATATTTTCGGAAAGGTAATTTTAAATTCTTTTCAGTTAATTAAAAATATAGAGGGTGTCCCAAATAAAAAATCAATTTTTCTGTTGATAACTCTTCAATTATTAATTTTAAAAAAATTATACTTAAACCATTAAATTCTACGTAAAAAGGTGCTTTGGAAATGTTTACATAGAAATACAAAATTTTCCATAGCAAAAAAGTTACAGCGATTTATTAAAAATACACATTTTTGAAAAACACCCCGTAACTCCGAAACGGTAACAGATATTGATGTGCGGTTTTCACCATCATGTTTTTGACGAAAATTGAGCTCTAGACACCGATATTAGTTTTTGTCTATCTCCTATAGAAAAGGGTGTTTCCATTTAAAAGCGTCGAATTTAACCCACCCTGTACATGGCAGCGCGAGCGACAAAGATGCTAGGTAGAAAAGTTGAAATTCAGAAAAAGACTTCCGGAAAACTTTCCAGGTATCCCCTTTTTTAGAATCAAATAACTGAACTATTTGGACATTTGTAGAAATGTCGATTTTCAGTATATCTATTTGCAGTAGTTTTTTTTCTATTTTTTGAAATACCTATAAAACTATACCGGGTGCGTCTCAAAAGTGGCTCACCCCTATAACTTTTTTATTTTTCAGATACAACAACGAGATTTGGTATGTTAGTATATGACATAAATTGGGATTGATTGACGTATCTAATTGCTTTCGGTCACTTCCGGTTTCACCGGAAATGACTACAACATTTGATTTTTAAATGGCACCGTCGGTATTTTTTTACTTTATTCGATAGAAAATGACACTCTGAATGGAATGGCATATCATATGTCAATTTTTGACATAGTCACTCAAAAACAAATTCTATTTTAAATTTCAATCTAGAGTGGCTGTGTTAAAAAACACTAATTTTTAATCAAGGAGCCTTGGAAAAATAGATTTGATCTTATAAGTTTTTAGTGTCTTGTCCTAGCCGGTTAAAAGATGTACAAATTATATTTTTAATCATATCTCAATTTTTTCAAATGGAACGAGGGTGGCTCATTAGCATATTTGAAAAAAGTATTTTTTTACGAATAATTTGATACCACACACTTGGTATTTTGAGTCAAATTGTCGTTATGAACCGCATGTTACAATTTCAAATAAACCATATGCCAAAATGTCAAAAGTTGACATATGATATGTCATTCGATTCAGAGTGTCATTTTCTATCGAATAAAGTAAAAAAATACACATTTAAAATAAATATACATTTAAAAATCAAAAGTTGTAGTCATTTCCGGTGAAACCGGAAGTGACCGAAAACAATTGAATACCTCAATCAATCCCAATTTATGTCATATACTAACATACCAAATATCGATGTTTTATCTGAAAAAATAAAAAAGTTATAGGGGTGAGCCACTTTTAAGACGCACCCGGTATTGTACCTGTCCATATTTGGTCTGTCATATCTTCTACCGGTACCTTCAATTTCTTTTTTGCTCTTGTAACCGTATCTTCCATAAGCCGGTGTCATTCTGTTGGGAGCCTTATTTTCCACAAAATTCGTAAAGGGGTTGCTGTAACTGTTGACAGGTGTTCGAAAACTGTTACTTTGGAACCAGTTCGTGTAACCGTTATCAAACTTTCTTAACGGTGAGCTCCACGGTGCATAGTTGTAGCTTGCACGATCGTGGTCATGATGGTCATCGTGGCTTAAAGCGTCTAAATCTATATCTAAACAAAATATAACGTATCGTTGATAAACACATGAAAGAAAAAATAGTAATTTTAAAAATATAGCCTTTTTAAATTCAACGGCATTTTAAGTTTCATAGACAGAGGGCACTTTAATTTGTCCGCTTTGCGACAGCTGCGACACTTGCGACAGTTTCATAAACATACTATAAATATTAAAAATCTAATTTAAAATTGTAAAACGAATTTAAATTTACGATTTAGACGAGCTCATGAAAACAGACAAGTAAATAAAGATGTAAACTAGTATGAATTTTATAATTTATAGGTATACAGTGTGTACCAATAACTTTACAACAAATAAGTAGAACATATCTTATTTTTTAGTAATGTAATAAGTTTGTGGAATTAAAATGTGAAAAGTTAGGCTAAATGACAAGATATAGAACAATATCAAAGAGAAAAAGCTGTTCAGACGTTTATGGAAAACCAATACAGCATGGGGCGAGTTACAGAAGAGACAGAAAAAACTGTTCATAGCGTGAATTTTGAACATCCTGTATGATTTACGATTTCCATATTTATTGCAAAGTAGGTAAGTATAGACCATCTAACGTAAATACCTAATATAGTTTTGATTTTAGGACAGTTTTTGGATTTGTAATAACTTTTTTTAAGAAAGGCTGAAAAATATATATTTTTATTTTTTTTATTAATATTTCTAAAACTAATGGGTGTACCATTTAAAAAAAATCATCCCGATCCACTCACACTATTTTGAGCCACCATATAGAAGTTAATTGTTTTCCTGAAATACATCCTAGTACATACTTTAGGTTTGTACTTAAACAAAGTTCCCAAGTTTTTTATAATAGGAGCTACAGATGCCCGACGCACTATTGCCAGATCCTGTATAAGGATGACCCAGGCTTTCCAAAACGCTCTATATTAGGTTTTTGATTTGTGATTTTATTTTCATTATGTAAAAATAAAATGGGGGCAATGGTAATGCACATTTTGAAAACATTTTTGTCAACATAGAGGATGTTCAAACATATTTTCAAACTAATGTTGTATATTTTTAAATAGAATACTATATAATTTATTAGCTCAGTGGATTTGCCATTAAATTTTCATTCTAAAAATACCTTAATGTCATATACTATACCGAGTAGTTTTTTGGAAATATATCCATTTTTATTCTAAATTTATTGCTTATTTAAAGTTCACTCAAAATTCTAAATTTGAAGAATTTAATTTTTTTTCGCAGGAAGTAGTGCATAATACTGCCTTTTTCAAAATTTAGTGTACTAAAAATTTTGCGATGTTGTTTTATATATACAGGGTGAGTCATAATTAAATGTTGAATGAAAAATACATTTAGTTTTGACCCACCCTGTATATATCAAATAAGATTGCAAATATTGATAGACTGAATTTTAAAGAAGACACTATAAAACAGTACCTCCGACTAAAAAAAATTGAACTTTTTCGAATTCAGAATTTTGAGAGGGCAGATGGGCATGCAAGAATGTCAAAATTTGACATATAATATGTCATTCTATTTAGACTGTCATTTTCTATCGAATAAAGTCAAAAAATACCGAGGATGTTATTTAAAAATCAAAAGTTGCAGTCATTTCCGGTGAAACAGAAAGTGATCGAAAACAATTGATTACGTCAATCAGTCATAATTTATGTCATATTCTAACATACTAAATCTCGTTTTTTTATCTGAAAAAATAAAAAAAAGTTTCACGCAGTGAAAAAGTTTCACGCAGTTTTGTGTGTATGAGACACTGTGGTAAAAAGTAACACTTTATAAATTTTATTTCATTTTTTGACGAATGCTAATTTATAAAAACAGAGACGTTCATTGTCACAACTTATTATTATATTGATTTCTGAGCCAAATCCACATTTATTTAGAATACTTTATTAATTAAAACAATTTAAAAGTATGTTAGTAACTAAATTTTGGTGGGAAATAATGGTGGTATATTTAATTGGTATACACTTTTACAAAAATTTAAATAGTTTTTTATATACCAATAGGCTTGCAACATTTACCACCTGTATATTTTGTACATATATGTTGCTTTAAATAAACCTGAAATGTAAATATTCCATGGGTATAGTGATAAATGAGGTCTAAATTATAAGAAAATGCATTTTCTACGAAAACTTGAAGAGATAGGTAAAAAATGGTATAAAATAATTTGATAGACAATTAAATTGTACATCTAATTCTTCTAAAATATATAGGATGTTCCATTTAAATTAAACAAGTTATTGTCATTTAAAGCTAGTAATTATTTAATATAAATTTTTGGACACTCTGTATAACGTAGTTACGCATCATATACATTATCCGGTAGATAATATATATGATCTTTGATATGATATAATGACAACTTTGGAACAGAAATGTTATGAACAACCAGCGAAAAGAATACCCACATTACATTTATAAAACCTACAACTTTATATCAAAAAGATATTTGAATCATCTTAAATCAACCCAAACATATCTATTAAAAATAAGGTTCCCATGGATTCAAATTTTCAAATAGGAAACCCGATATGAATCTTTTTTGAAGAAACTGGGTCCTGCACCTGTACTAAACTACAATGTGATTGAAAAAGAAACGGCGTCAGCGATGGCTATGAAATGTAAGATGGCTCTCATTTTATATGTAAAATTATATGGGGAATCTCATCGATCGTTATTTCCAAGCCAACTGGACGCCGTTTTTTACGATCACACGGTATTAATTGTAACTGATGAATTAAACCCTAAATTATACCTACCGTGCGGAATCTCTACGGTTGTAGTTTCAGGTTCCTCGTCCTTTTTCTCAAAGTCTTTACTGTTAAAATATATGGGCGTCGATGGTAATTCCCAAGCTAAAGCCGCTGTGTTACCGAATACAAATAACGATCCCATTCCAACCGACGGGAACGTTAGACAAAAAACTAAAATTTATTACGAGAAAACCTTATTTTCCTTTTGACTTGTTGGCGCAGTAATCTTCATCTTACCTAATTGAAAAGAACTACCGGCTGGGAAAACTAAATACCTCCGTTTTCTGGATAGCTGGGTCTGATTTTCATTTCCTAATTGTCGTTTTATGTCCCTATCCAGATCGTAATCACCCAAAACACCATTTTTTGTGTTCAGAATTGAAAGAAAAAGAATTAAAAGCAAACTAAACTCGTACAGTCGCATCGTGTTAAAACTAAACTGGCTTCTTAAACAGTTACGAAGAAGATCTATTTTTGTTGCTAATAAGTGCAAATAGAATACTGTTTAGTACTTTTTAAGTACCGTTTTTATTATGTTTAAGTCGGGCAATGTATTTTTTATATAAGTAATTTATTAAAAAATAAATTCATTTTGTGGTGGTGTTTTGCAAGAGGCAGTAAGTTCGTCATTCGAGACAGAAATGACAGAAATTAGTCTAAAAGAATATTTTTCAATGTTTATTTATACTATAAATAGAACATTAAATATAGAGTATGTTAATTTTATCGAATTAATGGTTTGATATATGTTTGAGTAACGTTTTTGGTGACGAAGTTACTACCGAAGCCTAATTGTAATGGTAAATATAAGAAACAATGAAGAATAGAGAGATACTGCGTGCTTAATGTGATGAATTAACGCTATAATACAGCTGCAGTAAAAAAAAAATGTCATCCAGTTGGCTTAAAAATGAACATCGATGATATTCTTTATATAACTTTACATATAAAATGACAGCGATCTTCATTTCATAGTCATCGCTGAGGCTGTTTTTTACGATCATAATCTATTATTGCACATTAGTTAAAATAAATTAATTCGTTTTAAACTATTATCAACAAGATATATTTTAGATAAAAGATATACCAAGATATAAGAAGAACATTCATGAAAAGTAGAATATAGTTAAGATTCAAGTCAGTTCAAAGAATATCTAAGATGAGGTTCTCACTTGTTTTTTAGAATATGGAAATACTAATAGTATAAATAAATCATGTATATTCGATATCAATTAAACTTTTAGTTACGTAATCGGGGGCGTAATCTTTAAATTTATCGTTACCAACCATGGATATATTCGGCGCCTAGCTGACTAACTGGAATTTAAATTAATTAAATAAAAGCCCGCTGAGTATTCAGGTGGTAGCTTTGCCGGAACAAACGTCAAGTAGCCACATTTATTTATTTATTTCCTGACATTGTCATTCGTATTACGAGTTTTTGGTTTAAATAATATAATAATAGCTAATATATAGCTCCCGTATACAGATTGTTAACTGGGCAGTTACTTATAGGGGAATAGAATGGCAACACTGCCTATTATAGGGTTTTCTGCCGACTCGGCAGCCGAGGTTGCCATATTTCAACCATAAAGCTCTTGCCGCGAGTAATAAACAAATTAACAACCTGTATAGCGTTTAATAGTTTAACGCCTTGGGAGTAGCAAGGTACAGCTTGCCATGCTAGAGCCGTTCGGTATACAAGGAATGTAATGTGGCTAGCACTACGCTTCAACCGCCTATTATTACCTCAGGAATGCGAATCCCAAGTACTCAAGGCTGAGTCGACCTAGGTACCCAAGTACCCAAACTATTGTTATTTTAATAAAACTATTTTATTTTAATAAAAATAGTTGGCTGATGAAATGCCGGCTATAGGATTCGAACCTACCACCTTGAGATTGGTAGACGATAAATTTTAGACGATTAGTTTAAATAAATTATGTGATATTTTAAGCTTAAACATTTTTACTAGCAGACCTACCACAGTCGAACATTGTTCTTTTTAGAACCTCTTTTAGTATGAAGTGGTACAAGATAGCTTAATAGCCGTAAAAAAAACTCATTGCAACTTTATAAGAATATTTTGAACGGGAAAGAGTGAGCAAGAACAGCGGTAGTAATGGCCCTTTATGTCCCTTAAGTGCTGTTAAGAAGGTGAGTTTTGTTGATGTAAATAATAACTGTTTATATATTTATAATTAATTTTTTTTTCTTTTTATTCTTGGCTTTAGGTCGTTGTGGTTGCAAAGATGTTACTAGCAGACCGTTCTGTCACAGTTCTGTATAAAACATATTTATCATTTCACTAGCCGATAACGTCTACTGATACTACGTTCAAGAGACTTGAAAAAGACATATACTGTCGAAACATCGTCATAAAAATAAAATAATGAACAAAATCTAGCAACATCTTTGCAACCACAACGACCTAAATCCAAGAATAAAAAGAAAAAAAATATATAGTATACCAGGTCAAAGAAACGAAACAAAAAAATTAATTTATTTTTTATATATATATGATATAATGATGCTGCATAAGTCGAAAATTGAATTAATATACCGTATGATCAAAAAAGAAACGGCGTGACGACCGATGACATTCATCAAATCTCTTACATATAACAGCCATCGTCACTGGCAAGCCAATTCTAATACTTAATTAGAACTCTAATATTAGATTCTATTATTACACATATATATTAAATATTATAAAAATATAATATAAAATTTATGAAGGAATATAAATTTATAGTAATTTTCTATATTATAGAACAAAGAAATAAAATTTTGTTCTCTGAAACGCTGAGACGCAATAAATTTCAACTCTTTCTGTTCGAGGAAAAAGTTTTAACAATATTGGACACTCGAGAAAGACATGGAACAATATAAAGCGAATTTTGTTAGAGGTTTTCTGTACTAGTTGAAAAGTCCAATTATCTTCTGCATTCACCTTTGTCTACAGCAACTCTATTATTTTTGTTATATACAAGAAATTATACTATAAATATACAAAACTAAAAATATAGTTAATGGTCATGTAAAATATTAAACTACAAATACAATTTATTATATGTATTTTAAATAAACGGAAGGAAAAACTAAAAAGAAAAGAATATTAAAGGCTTTTGTATTATATAGGGTGTCTCAGAAATAAGCGCAGCTATTTTAACAGGCAGTTTATTTCGACTCCACAATTATGCCTATGAGGTATTTTTTGCGAAAAAAATTGTTAAAAATTTTAATTACTTCGGAAAATTTTAAAAAACTTTTTAGTGTAGCAATATTTTTTTTGCTTGGTATTACCAGGGAGATTTAAAAGGTATCTATGGCTCCAGTTGATCGATGTAATGTTTGTGAGGAAATTATCAGAACGAATTCGCCAGCAATTAAATGCAGTCACTGTCAAAAGTGGACCCACAGGAAGTGTACCGATTTATCTTCTGAAGAATTTTCAAAGTTAGCAAGCAGTACAAAAAAACGGAACCATAAGTGGGTCTGTTCTATTTGCCTTAAAAATGATGTCAGTATTATACTAGATGAACAGGAAGTCAGTGCAAATGGAACGGAAATCAAGGATCCGGAAGTAAATCGAATGGAATTGCTCTTTCAAAAATACTTTTTGCCCTTTAAAAACGAGATGGAGAGGAAACTTGAGGTTATAGTGAATAGCTTAGAGTTGATAAAACATGAGAATAGCCAACTTAGAGCAGAAAATAAATCACTTAATGATAAAATTTCTGAATTGAACAAGCAGTACCTTGAGAACCCACCACTCACCGAAGAAATAATCCAGGAACTACATGAGAGACAGCGAAGAGAACACAACGTAATAGCCTTTAAATTACCCGAGTCTAACAAAGCAAGTAAAGAGGATAAAGACCGAGAAGATCGTGATAGAATTATTACAGCTATATCTCAACACGTAGAGCTTAATACAGATGATATCAAAACTTTTCGCTTAGGAAGATTCAATAAAGAAAAGATAAGACCAGTAAAAGTTATAATGAACTCTTCCATGGATGCACTGAGACTTGTTCGTAGCAAACCATTATTAGAAAATTATTCTGGTCCAAGTTTCAAGTCTGATTTGACGAGGATGCAGCAGGAACATTTGAGAAAGGTGAGAGAGGATTTAAGAAAATTACAAGAAGAAGGATGTTCAACCAAAACAATCAAATATGTGAATGGCAGTCCTAGGATAGTTGAGAAGACAAATTTTTGAATGGCGGAGGTGGCAATAAAGAATCAATTTCAGTTTGTTATCAAAACGTTCGCGGCCTTCGCACCAAGTGCAGGGACTTTTTGTTATCAGTTGCAATTTCGGATTATGATATTATTTGTGTGAGTGAAAGTGGTTTGAACGAAAATTTTAACGATGGTGAATTGGTGGACTCTTCATATTCCGTATTCAGGAAAGATAGGAGCAGCACTACAAGCTCTAAAAATCGCGGAGGGGGAGTCCTAATAGCATGTAAGAACACTTTTAATGCTGTGGAAACATCTTCCACAAACAATAATGTTGAACAAGTTTTTATTCATTTTACATATAACCGTTGTCAATACATAGTTGGTTGTACTTATATACCACCAAACTCTCCTTTAGAAAGTTACACAAATCATATGTCAGACGTCAGTCATATTATGAGTAAATATACTAACTGTAAAACTTGTATCTTCGGAGATTATAATCTACCGAATTTACAGTGGGATCCTCTTGACGAATGTCAAAAATGCCACTTCTTTAAAGAAGTATATATATATATATATATATATATATATATATATATATATATATATATATATATATATATATATATATATATATATATATATATATATATATATACTTAGACTTATAGACATTTCCAAGTAATCCGCAAACAGATTGCTAATTTCCAACTTATCATATGCAACTTTATCGTCCCAGGTCATTTTGTAAGGTAGCTCCTGACAATAGTTGTTTTTATTTTTAATGAAATTCCAGAATTGCGATGAGTCAGACTTAATACTCTGTTCAGCTCCTTTTACGAAATTGTTATAACAAGTCTTACTTTTAAATTTACAAATTTCGCGCAAAGATGAGAATTCATAGTAATAATGTTCATCTAATGTTTCCTTATATAGCTTATGCATGGTCTTTTTCTTTTTGATGGTATTAATTAAGTCTTTATTAAACCATGATGGAAAGGTACTTTTTTTTAAACAGTATTTAGGGATACACTTCTCAATTACATCATATACAATTTCGTAGAAAACCGACATAATTTCGTCAATATTTTTTAAATTATAAATCACTGTCCAATTTATATCTAATAACATATTATTCAATTGTCCATAATTCGCTTTTTTAAAATTATAGAAATATTGTTCTTTATCAGGACACACTCTTGATGTTGTTTCTATAGTTAGTCCTATTGCCGG